CAAAACCTGCAGCTCTTCCATGAAACACAGGGAGGGATGGGAGTGAAGGGTTAAAAGAGAGTACAAAGGCACAATCTAGTTTAAAGCCCTGACTGTCCTTTGATTCCAGAATATTACCAGGGCTTCGGCAGGACTGTTTAGCAAAACCCCAGGGATCCACCAGTTACTTCTGGAATATACTCTGGTCCATCAGTCACCAGGGGAGGACCATTTGAATGGATCCAGTCTCCCTGCGGAGAGAGGGTAGCATAAGAGAATCTCAGGGACACCAAGCAGGATTGGACCGTAACAAAGGGCGGGGAGACAGGTCCCTGAGATGACCCGGGATAGGCCAATGGCTGTCATGATAGTCATGAACTTCTGGTCCGTTTCCAGGACCAAAACCAGGGATAATAGATTAAAGTTCTTCAGGACCATAAATCTGGGGAATTCCACTTCCAGCCCCAAGATGGCCTCCAGCAGCACAGGCAGGGAGGTTGCTATGCAACAGGGAGGCTGGTACAGTAGCAACACTCCCAACTGATCTTGTGAGCCCAGCTTCAGGTACAGGGTCTCACAGTCAGAAACTTGGGGAGCAAGGCTCCTGAAGACCAAGACAGATTCTCAGATGATCACTATCACTCCACCCCTCCGTCCTGGGGTCTTAGCTGGGGCGAAACCCTAAATCCTATTTAAAGAGACATTTGTATAGTTACCTGTGAATGTCCTTTCTCGTTTGACTGCGAGAGAGTCTAGTGTGGGTTGTCCTCATCTCCTTATCATGTGACTGAGTCTGCCAATTCATTGATCTTGCCACCGTTGCTATGGATACCCCAGCTTTCGGCAAAGGATTCTTGACAGACGTCTTCGTGTTCTGAAAAATATTAAAACATCCTTCTCCCCACTCCCGCCAGACCTCCTCAGGGTGGGCCTAGACTCTCTCACAGTCCAACGAGAAAGACGTTGACAGGTAACTATACCAACATCCCTTCTCCATTAGACTGCTGTGAGAGTCTAGTGTGGGACTTAGCAAAGCCGGCATGTCCCTGGGAGGGTTAGGTCTGGTCCTCATCCATCTGCTCCGATACAACTCATTGGAGCACCCATCTGCCAAAGGCCTCATCCACAGAGGCGAAAGAGTCCAGACGGTAATGACGGATAAACAGGGAAGGAGATGACCAGGTGGAAGCCTGGCAAATCTCCTCAATAGATGCTTGAGTAGCCCAAGTTACTGCTGTGGCTGCACTCCTTGTGGAGTGAGCCATAAGTCTACTGGGCACAGGGAGTCCCCGAGTCTCGTAAGCCGATGCTATGCAGGATCAAATCTACCTGCCCATCGTAGAAGGGGAAATCTTTTTTTCTAACGAGGCCAGTTGAAAGGAAACAAAATGAGATTCTGTCTTTCAGAACGAAGAAGTCCTTTTAACATAAATCTGCAATGCCCTGCGAACATCCAGAGCATGCTATTTCTTCTCAGGTTCATGAGTCGGGTTAGGACAAAAATCTGGTAATACCAGTTCCTGCGGTCTGTGAAACAATTAACTTTCGGAACAAAGGTGGGATCTAGTCTAAGGACCACCCTGTTATGGTGAAAGATGCAAAGATCTGCCCTGACAGAGAGCACTGCCAGTTCCGAAACCCTTCTAGCCAACGTGATGGCCACCAAGAAGGTCACCTTAATAGTCATGAAACGCAGGTTCTAAGTGGCTCGAAGGGTGTTCCTGTATATGCAGTACTTTGGACGGGTCCCAAGTAGGATACCTGTGGACTACTGGAGGACATAGATTCAATGCCTCTCTGAGAAATACACAGTTTAGAGGATGGTGAGAAATAGACAAGACAGAAGAGAAAGCTGCTACCTGTCTGAGAAGAGTATTAGGCGACAGCCCTTTGTCCAACCCATCCTGCAGAAATTCAAGAATGTACCCAATAGTGGTCTCCATGGCGAACAATTAGTCTTATTACACCAAGTGCAAAAATTCCTCCAAGCTACATCATAAATGCGGTTGGTAGATGCTTTTCTAGATGCCTGTATAGTATCTATGATTCTAGCAAAAAACCTGCCCTTAGTTAACGATCCCCGCTCAATCTCCATATGGCTAACTGAAGCCATTGGGGCTCTATATGCAGCAGTGCCCCTTGGCTGAAGGAAATCTTGGATGGGGAAATCCTCCATAGGGGAGTCACTGATAGGTTCACCAGATCCATGATCTTCTGACCAATGAGAGGCCAGAAGTAAGATCTCCGCCCTCTCCGCCAACAATTTCCTGATTACAAGCAGAATGAGAGGAAGAAGAGGAAAAGCATACATTAGACTTTCTGGCCATTGGCACCGGTGCATTGATCCCCTCCGCCCTCGGTGTGTAGAACCTGGTGAAATACCTGGGGAGTTGAGCATTGTCTGGGGAAGCAAAAAGGTCCACAACTGGGGCTCCAAAAATTCCAGTCATCTCCCTGAATAAATCCGGATGGAGACACCATTTGGAGTGGTCTATCTTGGCCTTGCTCAGCAATCTGCCTGTACATTGTTGACCCCCGAAATGTGCTCCGCCCTCAGAGATAGGTGTCTCTCTGCCAAAAGGTCTAACCTCTCTGCTTCCTGCAAAAGGGCCCTGGACCTGGATCTCCTTTGATGGTTGATGTGTGCCTTGGCTGCCACATTGTCCGTCATTATATGTACACAGTTCCCAACTACACTGTCCCAAAACTGCTTGAGGGCCAGATGGATAGTCCTGAGCTCCAGCCAATTGATGGGGCGCATGCTCTCCAGCTGAAGCCACCACCCCTGAGCCATCTCTGACTGAAGATGGGCTCCCCAGCTGTACAGGCTGGCGTCTGTGGTGATAACCACTTGGCTGGGCTCCTTGAAGAGCTGACCCACTGTGATGCTTGGAGACAGCCACCACCAGAAAGACCTGAGAACTGCTCGGGGAACCAACACCTTGATGGCCAAATGGCTTTTACCTGCCTGTTGATAGGGAAGGAGGAACCATTGTAACACACATGCTTGAGGTCTCGCCTGTGGAACGATGGATACGCATGATAACATCTTGCCCAAAAGTTGAGATAGAAGAGACAAGGGCACAGTTTGATGCTGTCTGATCTGATTGGCCAGCAACTGCAAGCTCTGCTGATGGTCTGGAGATAGGAAGACCTCGCAGGCTACCATGTCTATTACTGCTCCCAAGTGTAGAAGACGGTTGGTGGGTTCAAATGACTCTTGTTGATGTTTATTGAGAACCCATGCGACTGCAGCACCTGCAAAGTAATTTAGAGATCTCTCCTGGCAGTGACTTCTGAGGAAGATTGAATTAAAATATCATCGAAGTAACATTGAACTCTCAATGGCTGGGCTTGCAATGGAGCCGCCAGAGCCACCAGAATTTTGGTGAACACTCTGGGGGCCAAAGAAAGCCCAAATGGTAAGGCCCTATATTGACAGTGTCTTCCGTTGTAACAAAAACAGAGAAATGAAATGTCCAAATTGGCATATGGAGGTAAGCCTCTGTCAAGTCAATGGAAGTGAGGAAGTCACCCTCCCGAACGCTCTCTAAGATAGTTTGGAGTGACTGCATTTTAAAACGCTGGTAAAGGATATAGTTATTCATACATTTGAGGTCTAAGATAGCCCTCCAAACCTCCGAGGTCTTGGGGATGACAAACAATCAGGAATAGAATCCCTGCCCTTGCTAATCTTCTGAAACCACCTGTATAGCATGAATATCCACTAAGTGTTTAATGGCAGGTTCCATGAGGACCCTTCTAGCATTGTCCCTAGAAATGGGGCAGCTAACAAAAAACCTCAGAGGGGAGGAAAGGAACTCGAGGCAAAGTCCTGACCTCACAGGTTACAGAACTCAGGCATCAGATGTTGTGTCCCCCATTGAGTGGCAAAGAGAAACAAACGGCCACTGATGGGGGAGTCAGATGCAGTTACTTGGAACGCCGTACAAATGACTTCCTCCCGCTCGAAAGGGCCGCCTGCTCTGTGAGGGAGGAAATTGTCTACCTGACCATTCCTGGTGTTGATCTGGCTGAGCTGGGAAGAACCTCTGGGAGCATGCAAACCTGGCTGGTCTCATTTCAGATCTCTTGAATGTCGAGGGAAGAATCTTCCGTTTGTCCCAGGTCTCCACTAAATAGGGTTTCAAAGCATCTCCAAACAGCCAGGGCTGAAGCCACATTCCACTACCTCCGGGCGTACGTCTGCCAGTTGAAGAGCCATAAAAGCCTCTGCACAGTGACAGAGATAGCCATGGCCTTGGTGGCAAATTTAGCCGAATCAAGAGTAGCATCAGTGGTGAACTCTGTGTCAGCTATAATTTTGCTCAGATCCTGATGTGCCCTGATGTCTAATGCCAGCACTTGCTCCTGCAATTGTTTTAGCCAGCGGAGTGATGTCTGCATGAAAAAAGATGCCGCTGTAGAGGACGGACCATCCAGGCCAAAACCAGGTGAGACCTTTGCAAGATGTGTTCAGAGCACTTATCCTCCTCTTTCAGTGCATCCTCTGGTTCAGTGGGGGTCCCTGATGAAGATGCGGAACTGACTAGTGGGGGGGTCCACTGCTGGGAGCTGCAAGGCCTTGGCCAAATTCGGACCCACATTATAGAATTTTTTTATCAGAGGAGGATGGGTGAAGGCCAGTGCCTGGAGAAGCACATTGCTTCAGCACTACATCCAGGAACAATCTAGGTGATGGTAAGACCTCTGCCTAGACAGTGGGTTGGGAGAATAGATAATTCCCTTGAGGCTGTCCTTGAGGGCTTGGCTGTCCTTGAGGTCTCATCCCGGGCTAACTAGGCTGTATTCTTGGCCTTGTGTAACAAGGACTTGAATAGGGAATGGTCAAATAACCAAGACTGTGGGATTTGAATATTAAAGAGTTTCCAAATCTCCCCCAGCAACAGTTGGCCCCACCCTCCCTTTGTTCCTGGCCCTTTGCAAACTGCCTTTCAAGGGCCTCGTGTCTTCTTTTTTCCACTCATTCCTCAGCCTTGGATTTTTTTTATTTTTTGGGGGTGGCAACAGCTTTGGCCTTGATTCTTGCTGCTGCACCTTGGGCTGAGGAATGCTTTCTGGATCTCCTGCTGTGCCTTGAAGAGGCTTGTGCCATTGCAGGGGACAGGGGCTCTTCTCTGCCTGCTTCCCATCCCTTAATTGGGAGTTACTGCCAAGCAGTGACTTATGCCTAGGCCATGCGGGCTAGAAAGCCCTGAGGCCTCAGAATCAAGTAGGGGATTGATCTCTCCCACCCTGCAATTAAAGCCAGTCAGCTGTGCAGAGGGAGCTTCAAGAGGCGTGTAAAAAGGGGAATTAGCCAATTTGGGCAATGTAACCCTATCGCCGCCCCACTTGCTCCCCGCAACGACTTTCAGTCTCTGGTCTTAATCCGCTGGTGTCCTCAATGCCAAGATTGATTCCTGGCCCTGGAAACACCTTGTAGGGGGAAAGGCCCTTCCCGCCTCAGGAGCCGCTGCAATCTTCCCGCCGATCAGCTGTTTGCTCCAAGCTGATCGCACTTATTTTTGCTTTGAATTTGTTTTTTTTTCTGAATTTTTTTAGCTTTCTCTCTGAGAGAACCTTCTCAGAACACGACTGCCACAACCAGCAGACTGAGTAGAAAGCTGGGGGTATCCATAGCAACGGTGGCAAGATCAATGATTTGGCAGACTCAGTCACGTGATGAAGAGATGAGCACAACCCACCCTAGACTCTCGCAGCAGTCTAACGGAGAATGGCTTAGTTCCATGATGGCAAACCTGTGCCATGTGTGCTGGAAGTGGCATGCAGAGCCATCTCTCTGGGCATGCCAGTCATTGCCTGTTGCTCTTCTGGGTTCTGGCAAGCGTATGCGTACTGGCCAGCTGGTCTTTGTATGTGTGGGAGCACCAGAAACTGGGAGAGCAGTTCCCGGCGCGCACATGTGCACCAGTCACTTAGTCTTCCAGTTTCCAATGCGCATACGTGCGCACAGACCAGCTGGCCACCACACATATGTGCATGAAGACCAGCTGGCTGGCACACGCATTAGAAACTGGCCAGCCAGCTGGTCTTCGCGCGCGCATGCACATTAGAAGCCTGAAGACCATGTGGCATGCGCATGCCGGGAGCTGCTCTTCCGGTTTCCGGCACACACATTTCGGCACAGTGCCCTTTCAGTGTGTGCACACTCTCGTTTTGGCACTCGGTGCCGAAAAGGTTAACCACTACTGGTTTAGCTATTAAACATTTTAGTAAAAAAAAATGCTTTACTTTTATGTTTTTTCCATTTTAATATATATCAAACTGGCATTCCAAATATTAATTACCTTTAATCTAACCAAACCATATCTTCCTACTTTCTCTTTAAAAATTTCTAGCCTACCCTTCCATAATTAGAGCAAGCTCATAGGGAGTTTAATATTTAAAATAAAAAAATTGTTTATATAAACTGATTGTTCATCAACTTTAAGCTGCCTTCATAAAAGACCCCCTCAGATTTTAAAGATAAAATTAATCATCAAATTTTATCAATTACTGTGATTTGTGCCATTTTGAAGTTCTATTTTGAGATGGGCAATATTTGGGAAAGCTGAAAATTCTGCATCCCCCACTTACAATTTTGTCCAGCTTTTTAAGGGTTTGGGGGCAGTCTTAAAAATGAAAATGGGCTTCCTTATCCATAGTTTGAAGGAAGAAAAATCTTTGTCACCGAAGTGTGTGATCAGTTTGCTAAGAAGGCAAAGTGATCTCAGTGATGGAGAAAGGAACACTCAGTCTATGGATTACCTATCCTTTTAGGCCCAATCGTAAACAGAATACATGATCAGTATGGGTCACTGAAGGTAAATGATAGTTTTTCATCAATATGTTTGTCAAAAGCATGAGAGGAGGAGATGAAAATGCAAAAATCAAGAACGGAATTTAACTTCTCTAAAAAAACTCCCCAGGATAGGGAAAACTCCTAAGCTTCTGCTAGACAAGCTACATTTCTCCTCAATAAAGAGCCTCTTCATAATGAAGTGGCAAACATATAACACAGAGCATAGAATCATAAGGCTGGAAGGGACTTCTTAGGTCCTTGTAGTCCAACCCCCTGTTCAAGGCAGGAGCTCTTATACCATCCTGGTCAAATGGTTGTCCAGTCTAATTTTGGAAACCTCCAGTGATTGAGCACCTATATATAAATGAGCTGTTTGCACCTAAAGACCCAGAAGAGCTCTCCTTTCCAGACTGGTCCTTATAAGATCCAAAAGGGGAAAAGTGACACAGAACACATGCTGACCCTGTAGGTTCCAAGAGCTGATTCTATAAAATATATTCAATCAATTTTACCAAGCAAGTTAAATTCAGACAGATAAACAAAAGCAACGACCACAGAACAGAGGTGGTTAGACCATCCAGCTTTCCACTAAATGAAAAAAAACCTAGATCCTCAAAGTTCTTTCCGCTACTTCCCCAAAATCAATGGGGGTGGGTGGGTGGGGGGGAATAGACATAAGGATCTCTACCTTCAAGGCACTCTTCCTCCCCACTCATTTTTTAAGGTTGCATGGAGAGGATAGAAACTGGAAAACTGAGCACGAGCAGACCACCAAATTTAATCCTGCAGAGCATACAGTATAACTCTTCCTACTGTGAAGACATGGATTGAATCAGTTTTCTAAATCATTATTTAAAGCCTGGCAAATATAAGAACTCAAGGCTTAGATTGGCAATTCTGGAATTTGCTTTTTTCACTGGTTATTTTAAAAACATTATAAAGGTTACTTCTTTCAGGTTTGTCTTAATTCTCTAGTACTGGGTCAGTCTTTTTTTTCCCCCCAGACACCAACGGCTTAAATTTAAGTTCACAGCACTTGTGCACACATTCCTGAATCTGTAGACAAGGAACACTGACATCTGGCAACTGAAATTAGCAACTAAATACACCTGTTAAATCCTAACTGCCCGGGTACCTATATAGTCCATCTATAGCATGTAGTCATTGGACTACAAATAAATGAACTGACATCAATCCACTAGCTACACAGAATCCTAAAACTAGGTTAATAATTTATTCTTAATTGCGTCCCATGCTTTTGCATACTGTTTTTTGTTCCTGGGATTTGGCATCAGAGTATTATTACAGAACCTGAACTAGCAAGATAATGAAAAGTTTAGACATGCTTATATGGAATGCAAGCAACACTGTCAAAAATGCATAGAAATTGCAAGATGTATTACTTATCTTGATATTAAAATATTTCTGCTATCTAAGATGCTACAAGCTTTCCTTTAAATGCATAACAGTTGTAAAGAACCTGAGGATAAATAGGATAAAAAATTAGAGGCAGAAGGAACTTGTGCTAATTTCATCTGTAGAACCAGGCTACAGTGTAGACATCTCCATTGCTCCTCAGGAAAACTCTCAAGGTTAAATAGACAAAAGAAAAGCAAAGAAAGAAAATTAGTCCAAACAGTACCAATCATTTTGCATTATTTACTGCTAAGCAGTTCTTGATTATACTCACATACACAGAGTTTTGGTTAACACTATTTAAAGTCTGGATTAATACAGTAAAAGTATATTTTCTAATATTTTATCTGAGCACCATTTCAAAGAAATCACAACTGATTTAGCTACTTGGCTAGCTTGTTAAAACAGTCAGTGTGCTTCTTTCTGAAATACAAATTTTCCTAAGGACATTGGCAGCATCCCTTGCTGCAGCATATCAACAAGCGGAAGGAACCATTTCTTTAATTTCTAAATTGTACGGCCTCTGTCTCTTACAGAAGCTCTTCAATATTTTATCCCAGGCAGGATCAGTAAAGGTAGCAAGATAGGTTTTTCTCTGGGATCACAAAATTAGCTGCTTCTCTTGCCATCAGCAATGGCAAAACACACTTCACTTATATATTTACAAGGCGCTACTGCCAAAAATATGTAAATGTGCATTAATGTGATTACTTTTAAAATTAATCTCCATTCAATAGGCCAATGTCCAAAAGTCCACATCTCTCCTTGCTCCTTCCTGTAAAATTATCTGTTTCTCAAGCTGCATATTCAGATCTAGACAACTAACTGCATTTGAAATATCCTGTTCCCAGCATTAAATGCATTACATATTCAGTTTTTTCAATGTATTGTGCCTCCTTTTTACTAGTAGCAATTATTAGAACAATTATTTATTTCCCTGAGAACTTTTATTTTGTTGTACTCCAAGAAGAAACAATTTCCTTTTAAGAAAGATCATACGTGGGTTAGGGTATTCCACTTGTCACTTTATGAAATGCAGGTATATCATCACCTTTAGCATATTAAATTAAAAACAAGTCCAACTCTCTCAACTGAGCTTGTTTTCAAAGATATATGCTCAGTCATTTAATTATACTTTCCACGGTACAGTAAAAGTTAATGATATAGCCCTTAGAGTATTCTAGGTTTAATAGTTAAATACTAGAATGAAACTTTTAATTCAATATTTAGTAAGTTAGTTTTGAGGCTTTCTTATTATAACAAGGCCTTTCAGTCAGTGCTGGTGCTGCATTTTTAAACATAAAGTCATTATCACTCATCATTAGAACAAGCTCCAGTTCTTGGAAATCTTGAAGTCTCGAGACGTCTTTGTCCTTAAAGAAATAAACAGAGAAAATTAGAAGCAATGCTAGAATCACAAGACACATAGTACCAAAACATTTGGCCATTTTTTTCATGATCTGCTTGGCTGGAACAGACATTTTATGCCTCTTTAAACTCTTTTTCTACAGTTGTTCTTAGATTTTTAATTATACTTCTTTGTATAATTAAAGAGGTTTAAATTTTAATTGGAAATGTCTGGAAATCTTGTTGGAGTGCAGAATCTAGAACAGTGGTTCTCAATCTTTTCTTCAACAACCCCCTTAAAATACCTCTTGTGGCCAGGGATTATGACCAGGGACCCTTAAGACTTGAGATTTAAATGATACATTTCTTCAGGCCTTCCCCTGTGACAACATTGCACACACACGCCAAAGCTCAATGGATCACAGGTAACTACTGATCTAGAATATTAAATAATTAGAAAAACATAGCTTGTTGATTTCTTCTTTCTGTTCCCTTCTCTTTTTACAAGAGAACTACATTTTTCCAATTTTTAGGATATATGAGTTTTTTGTGATAAATTTTAGGTTCTTTATAAATACAAAGATTAGGTTTTTAGCAATTTTAGGAATTAGATCCTCCTGAAATCAATCTGAAAAAGTTGTGATTAAATGAATTTCTGTTAAGTTTTCAGTGAACGTAATTTGGAGTCAAACAAATGGCAAACTTAACCTATGGTATACAGTATGTTTAGAAGGAGTTTGAAAGAAATAACTGAAACAAGAGGTTGGTAGTAAACCATTAGAACGTAACCAAAAAAGGATAGTTATGCAGATATGCACTAGTTATCGTAATGCCTTTGGGGCTCAGTTTCAGCTCTTTGATGTGTTGTTTGATGTGTTGTTATGAGCTTTATCTGGAAGTAGATGTTTGCAAAATCTTAAAAGAGCCCCCTGTACAATAACTCCAGAAACTGCTGAAGGACAACATTTCTTTAAAAGGTGGGTGCATTGTGTACAGTTAGTCTGCACTGAGTAGTGGGCAACACAGAACAAACATTATTATTCATATAACAATATTTCTTCCATGTCTGCTAATTTTGCAGCATTTGCACATGTCAGTCTATTTCTCTGGGAATAATTGCTCAGAATTTTCATGCCCCCAGGTTGCAGCATTTTGCATATCCACAGATCCCTGACAGAGTTCATTGGAAATAAAACAGAGCTTCAGCAGAGCAAAAGAATGTAATATTGATGGCTAACAAATCCACTCATAAAAAAGGAATGTTTACTGAGACTGCATCCCAATCTTTCAGTTTTTAGACACTTTTATGGAAGAATTCTATTTCTAGACTTTATAAACTGAGGTTCCACGTATATCGGTGTCTTGGAAACCTACATTTGGAATTATCACCAAACATTATGAACTCCAAAGTGACCAGTGATCACTAAAGAAGAAATTAGGTTTATGAGTAATCCATTACATTGGAATTTAATTAATCCATTTTTGTGAAGAAAATGCCTCACTATATACAATTAATTAGGCAATCTTTGACATACTGATTTGTTTCCCATGGCAGCAACTATGTATAAGATTCAACTTTAGGTTCCTTGTAATGACAAAGTACAGTATTATCTATTGTGAGACTGACAAAAAGACCAGTAGAGCAGTCCTAAACAAGTAGTTCTTGACCAGTTGTTTAATGACCATTCACAGTCATAGCTTCAGAACAGGTAGTTTGCCATCCCTAAAAGCATTCAGAATGGGTGTTTCACAGCTTGTAACGCTTCTAGCCATTGCAAAATGTCACGCCAGCCTCTCCTTTTCGTCACATAATCACATTTTGTGTGTTCAGCAACCTATTCACATTGAGAACCAGTTGACAAGTGGCCTGCAATCATGTGATTGTCATTTGCAATCTTCTCTGCCAGCTTCCCCAGGAAAACAATGGGGACAGCGACAGGGAAGGTTGTGAGCACAGGGAACAGTGGATTTAACCTTCATTCCCCCAGCGTGTCAAAGGATTAACACACTCCTCTGTGCAGGGAGGGGATATCTTCTCACACACTGGAGGAACAGAGCTCAAATCTGGTGAAAATGCTAGCTAATGCCATTATTCTGGAAAACTCAGAATACTGGGCTTCACTAGCGTTTTCCCTTCTGGAGGTGCAGAGATGAGAGCATTCACCAAAGTACTAGCAAATACCAGCATTCTGAGCATTCCAGAACAATGGTGTTTCACCAGTATTTTTGTCAGATTTGAGGTCCATTCCTCCAGCAGACTTTCATTGTGGTCTTCATCCCGATGAAAGAATGGATCTTAAATCTGACACAAATGCTAGTGAGTAAGTATTACTCTGAAGGCTCAGAATTCTGGCATTTACCAGAAGGGAAAATGGTAGCAAACGCTATAGTTTGAAAAGCTCAGAAGACTAACATTGCTGGCATCTGAACAAATGCCATCATCTTTACCCGCATGAACTTCTCATGATCAGGCGTAATTGCAAGCCTAGGCCCTCTCCCCACTCCACCATACCAGGGAGGCCAGGGCTGTCTCCTGCGCACTCTGTTTAACAACCTGCATGGTCACTTAATGACCACAACTGGAAGAGTCAGGATTGTGGTTGCTGAGCAAAGTGATCATGTAGCACAGCGGTCGCCAACAGGTGGGCCGTGAGAAAATTTTGGTGGGCCGCAGAGAAATCTCACTCCCACAGCACCCCCACAAAGCAATTAATCCAGTGTGCAGAAACACAAGGCTATGCTGCCCACATGGCTCACGGGAACCCTCCCCACTTACTCCTTACCCGGCAAACTTGCCTGGTAAAATTGCTATTTTTCCTTTTTCCAACCATCATCCGTTCTGCTGTGCTGGGAGATTTAGATTAGCTAGGAAGCAGAAAATGGTTGGATTTCTTGCTTTCTAGCTAGTCTTTAGATCTTTGGCTCTGCTTTTAAGCACAGCCAAACCTCCCTTAGGACTGAAGGTTTGCTTGCAAGCAAGTTCAATGCAGACTCACGGCAAGCAAATTTGAGAGACTGAGCTAGCCAATGGCAGATAGATAGATCACTGAATGATTCTGTGAGCAACTCAATCTGCCTGCTTTGCCTGATTTGGGGTAAAAGTTGCTCTTTTTTAATAAATAATTCAATATTTACATACATGGTGTGTTGTGAGTTAATTTTGTGTTTGCTTGATAGCAATTTTATGTGACAGACAGAGCTAGCCAATGGCAGATAGAGATCTCTCTCAATGAATCTGTGATTCTGTGAGCAACTTAATCTGCCTGCCTGCTTTGCCTGATTTTGGGTAAAAGTTGCTTTTTTTAATAAAAAATTCAATATTTATATAAATATTTATAATATTTACATACAAGCCATGCCCAGCCAGTCACATGACCATCAAGCCACACCCACAAATTAGGCCACGCCCACAGAACCTGGAAGCTAAAATTATGAGTTTGGTGGTCCCTGAATTCCAAAAGGTTGGCGACCCCTGATGTAGCATCCTATTTAACAACTTCTTCACTCAACAATCAAATTCTGGGCCCAACTCTGGTCATAAGTAGAGGATTACTTGTACATGATTATTGAAAAGATCTGAATAAATAAATAATTCAGAGAGGTTTCCCCTCACATAAAGGGGGAATCAAAATGCTGTAGAGATTCATACATTCAGATTCACATATATATTCAATGTAGCCCTTAAATATATAACAAAGGCTGCCAAATGAGATTCACTAAGTGAAATGCAGCCCTCCAGCTATAGATTTTGATTAGACTAGCCAAATGCTTCTAGGTTTGTGCAATCCCCTTGAGATTTCAAAAAGCAAGGCTGTTGTGCAACACTAAAATACGTATCTGCTGGACTGAACTGCATTTGACTTAGAAAGTCATAAATTATCCAAGTCACTCATAAATAACCTGAAATAAAACAAAGTACCTTTCTTAATACTGTATTTGGAAGCTTTCTGATCTTCTCCACATATTCGGGGTTAACACCCAACTCACAGCAGCTCACCCGAAGCAATTCTTTGTATGTCAATTCTTGTCGATCCAATTCAATTTCAATGAAGTCATTCTCCTTCAAGGTACGATTTTGAATTCTGACCTTAAGTACCAGTTCTAATTAAAATAGAAAGACTGTGGTTAGTAGACATGTAACAGTTTTCTCAATCTTGATTCCATTTTAACAATTTGCCCTATTTATTCTGACAAAGACATGCAGTGCAGAGAGCAGGCAGTGGAATTTGTGACTCTCTAATTTAGAGGCCTCCATCCCTTACTCTTGGGTTATGTTGTGGATCAACAACACATGAAAAAAATCAGTTTCTCCAACTTGGGGGGGTGGGGAGGGGGCAGCAGGGGTTATATTTGTAGTACAGATAATCCTCGACTTACAACAGTTCATTTAGTGACTGTTACAACAGCACTGAAAAAAAGCAACTTATGACCATTTTTCACACTTACAACCACTGCAGCATCCCCTTGGTCATCTGATCAAAATTTGGATGCTTGGCAAATGACTCATATTTATGACGGTTGCAGTGTCCTGGGGTCATGTGAATAGCTTTAGAGACCTTCTGACAAACAAAGTCAATGGGGAAGCCAAATTCGCTTAACAACTGCATTACTTAGCCCAACAACTGCAATGATTCACTTAACTAATGTGGTAAAACAAAGTTGTAAAATGGGGCAAAACTCACTTAACATATGTGTCATTTAACAATATAAATTTGGGGCTCAATTGTGGTCATTAAGTCGAGGACTACCTGTAATAACATCCAGGGTGTCAAAGCAAGCATGGAGCACGTTGTAAAAGTAAATGTGATTCTTTCAGTTGCCCCAATTTATGGATTAACATTTGATGGCTTATCGTGGGAGCAATGGGAGCCCACAACTCACAGAAGGAAATGTGGCTCTTACACGGATAGTGCTTGACAAGCACTACTGTGGGGGTGAATCATTCCTTTGATTGCTAGTCTAACTCTGTTCTTAGTAGGAAAAAGTTGCACTTCAGAAATGTGACTCAAATTTAAACAACAGTAATAAAGACTTGTGAGCTTTGCTCTTTGGAGAAATGGAAAATCACTGCAATGAATCATTGGCACCTTGACAGTCTTCAATTTAGAAGTTGTCCATAAATGTTTTATTAAAAGCCCTGAAAATTGAGTTCCTACAGAGGGTGATAGCTATCTTAAATGAACAACATTTAATACCAACATCTTATCTATCAAATGCACAATAGTACAAGTGGTTATCTTCAGTAACAAAAATCATGCCCCATTCATGCTCAGATTTTAAAATGGGCTTCCCAAAGATGTTTTAATTTTAGCTCAAACTTTTTTTCAGGATTAGTTTTTTACGAGATTGTATTGTTTATATAATTTTTGTAAAGAAATATAGATTTTAATATTTACATTTTTAAATATTTTGATTATTGTAAATCTTGTAGAACAATAAAAAGCAAGCTGAAATATTTTATAGACTAAATTCAACTCCCCGCCCCCTTTGTCCCTGGTTACTTGTGGGGAGCAGTTTTTAGATTAAGAATATTTAAGAGCAATGAGCTGGATTTCCTTTTTGCTATAGGATCCAATTCATAAATAAATTGCTGTGGTGCAGCAATTAAAGAATCTGATTGTGACTGGAAAGGCCCAGGTTCAAATCACCCTTAATGTATATATTCAGTGGATGATTTGGAGGTTAATCACTCCCTCTCAGTCCAAGCTGCCTCCCAGAATAGCTATTATAGGAATAAAATGAAGGGAGCTTCTCACAATAGCTGCTATATGACCTTTTGTAGGAGGTAAATGAAAAAATAAACTTTAAATAAATATAACCAAATTTATTTCTACTTTCTATCAGGAATACTTCCAGTAAAAATCATTGCTGCTATTTTTTAAAGCTATTTTTTTTTACAACCCAGGGGCATGCGTTGAAATGACAAAAGCAATAAAATACAGAAAACAGCACCCCATCTGATTAATTTGGGAGGTCCAGAACCAATTCTGATAAGTAGCTGAAGAGTGACATCTCATGCTAAAAGAAGATTAAAGTGTTAGGCAGTGTCTGAAAAAAGTATTTCGTAACACTAAGCAGCTGGTTTCCTGTGCGCCAACCACATATACATTTTAAAGCAACCAGGCTAGCCTTGCAAAAACAATATAGATCCTCTTTGAAGTTATTAATTATTAATAACTTATTAATACCTGTGTTATAAAGCATTTCTTTTAAATGTTTCCCACAGCCCTCTTACATAGAGCTGCTTATCTAACAAAACAGACTCAGATGCAAGTTTTGTAAACCTAAAGTAGCCATATCGCTCTGTGGACACACATACTGTACACCAGGCGTCCCCAACCACTGGGCCATGGACCGGTACCGGTCCGTGGAACATTTCCTACCGGGCCACCGGTTTGCTGGGCACCACCATCTTGTTTGACAAGAAAGTGCTTCCGGGTGAGCTTTTCCAGTTGGAAAGCGGCATTTGGGTCCTGAAGGAATCCTCGCACCTTAGTTTCATCGAAGGGGGGGGGGGGGGGCTTCGAACGAAACTAAGGCGCGAGGATTCTTTCAGCACTCAAGGCAAGGAGAGCTGAGTGACCGTCCCGAAGCCGCCCCGAAGCCCATCGACAAAGGTACAAAGGAGGAGTTGAAGGTGGCGGGGAGAAGAGGGGGACGGCTGGCTGGCCGGTCGCTTGGCTCACCTTGCCATGCGTGCTGATGCCGGTACCGGGCCGTGGATCATTTTGTGATGCCTGTACCGGGCCGTGGCACAAAAAAGGTTGGGGGCCACTGCTGTACACAACATTTGAGCTAGTAATATCACAGATGTCCAGGGTAGAGCCTGTGGTCGATTCCCATGTACATTTAATATAATTCCTCAAAAAAAATCTGAATGACAGATTCTGCTCGCTTGTTGGCCTGTTCAGCGGGTTCCCAATCATCCAGACAGAGCTCATATACATAAGCTTTTAAAAAAACTTTCTAAGCTCTTTCAAGCATCATGCTGAATATACACAAAAATCAGAATTAGAAGCTGTGCACATCACAATCCTCTTGCTTGTCATGCACATTCAGATCAATGTATGAATATATGAATAATTTTGAAGTGCATGTTTTCTTAGCATATCACAAAAAAGGAACCAGAAACTCTACTGGATTTTACTCACAGTTACCTAAAAAAATCTTCTTGCCCTGACTACAACAGCAGACAAAAAGCAGCAAAAGTAAATAATTTTTTGTGCAGTTTTGTGAAATTGTGATAATGATGCCTGTACTTAAGTCTGGAAACCGTACAATTTCTCTATAAAAGGTTACCTTGCATATTACTGAAGGGAATTGCTCCAGTAAAGAAGAAGGGCTGAAATGTTGGGACAGCTCCTGTGTAAGGGCCACTGGGTTGCTGGGTTTCTGGTTGTATAGATCCAGCTGGGGAACAGTGTGTCCTACTCGGAGGAACAGAGAGCTGATGAGCATGGCCATTCTGAACAATGGGCTCCAAGCATTCCATAGTGATTGCCTTTGTCACATCTCCATCACATCCTACAGAAGCCTTTCCATGTTGCAATACTGCTGTGCCAGATGTTTGTAATGGAGGCAAAGAAACTGGAGCGTCCATGTTGTGTTTTTGTAAAGGAGGAGAAAGTCTTCCATTCAAAGAGGAAGTTGAGGTGCTGGTAGTGCTGTTATTCATGGAGTTATACACATAAGGAAAAGGAGGGTTAGATAAATAATTTGGGATAATTGGCAAGTCTTTCTTCACATCCAAAAGATCGTCCTCTTCCACTACAGAAGGGGAGGAAAAAGGTTTGGTTATAATATGTACTTAAAATATATATATCATTATTTATGTTTAGCCACAAAAGTTATAATAAAATCCTTTTGAGAAAATAGATATTAAATATACAGCACACATAGTATGTAATATACAGTATTTGTATGTGATACAGGGATTCATTTTCAGCAAATTAAAATTCAACAGTCTGATTCTTTTATTAAACACTTGAAAGCTTCAAATATAGGAAGTCCTTGACTTACGACCACAATTGAGCACAAAATTTCTGCTGCTAAGCAAGACAGTTAAGTGAATTTTGCCCCATTTTACAATCTTTCTTGCCACAGTTAACTGAACTGCAGTTAACAATATCACTGTTAAGTGAATCTGGCTTCCCCATTGATTTTGCTTATCAGGTGGTCACAAAAGGTGATCACATCACCCCATCAGAAATACATATCATTTGCCATGATAATAGTGGGGAGGCTACAACAGTCATAAGTTAGTTTTTTCTATACCATTGTAACTTAGAAGAATCAATAAATGAATGATTGTAAGTTGAGGACTACCTGTAGCCACATTACTAATAATTCTAATTCAAGGTTCAAATTCAAATTCAAAGACCTCAAGAGACCACTTAGGGTGTCAATAGAGATTCAAACCATCTCCTTAGCATTCTAATTTTCTATAATATATTAGACCTGTCAAATTATATTTTACCTCCCAGCATCTTCCTAATTTCCCTTTTGGATGTTAACTGGAGTGCTTTTTCTTCTTTAACAGTGAGAATGTCTTTATCTGCGCCAGCCTCTAGAAGGTATGCCACGACCTGGGCATGATTTCGTTTACAGGCCCAGTGCAAGCAAGTCCTGTACAAGAAAAAGATAGACTTATTGAGAAGTTTTATTAAGGGGAAAAGGGAACATGACCCTTGCACTAAGCAATTGTGTCAGAATTTAGATATCCTTAGAGTGACATCTACTGGACAACTCTCAGAAAAAAAAACCCGCTAGAGATGTCAGGCAGCTGTAGCTCTTCAAGCAGCAATAATATTTTTTAAGTTTTCCAATATCTGAGGCTCGCACTCCTTATTTTCATCCTACCCCAAATGAAAATTAAAAGCACCCTTCACCCCAAAGGGTTTGTTTTTATCCTGACCAATGAAAGAATTAGTTCCGTTCACAATGTGAAACTTTCATGTGTATTTTATATTTTGCCAATAAGACTCAGTCATTAATTGGTCAAGATGCAAATTTTTTTCAAAATAAATATTTTCCTCACAGTAAATCAATCATTTTCAGTTCAACAATTTCAAATTATGTTGGATAACAAAATGTTATACTGCTGGGGTAAATTTTCTTTCCCAATTTAAATCCTCAAGGTTTGAGCTAAATCCTAATACATATGGTGGTCTTATATCAAAATGTTTTAAAGTAAAACATCTTTCAGTATTCTCTTCCCTTAATCTTTTTTAAAAAAAGTATTTGGATTTAGAAGTTCTTCCATGAAAACCAGTACCTTACTGGTGGACACAGATGCTACTTTAGCTAGACAATAGTTTGGAAACAAAAGGACTAAAGATAATTATAATTTCTGTCAGCCTGATGCAACAATCCCTCCAGCAACTTTGCTCCATTTCAATAAGACTCCACCAAAGACAAATAATTCCAATGGAAGAAAGTATCTGGCTCAGGATTGGATTGTGAGATTCTTGGTGCTCTCTGAGCTTAGTTGTTTGCTTGCAGACCTTTCGTTATGCAACCAAGTAACATTATTGCTAGTGTCTGTGAGGTTTGCATCCTGTTTATATAACTTGTGGTTCTAATACTATTTTGGTTGCTTCCTATCTGCTCTGTTATCCTTTTCATAGTTGGTGTTAATTGCACTATAGTGGGATGTGTGGTCAGGCACTTTTTGATAAAGTTGTTCGGGTATCCATTTTGTTGGAAGACTTGTTTGGGGTCTGTTTCGTGTGTGTGTGTGTGTGTGTGTGTGTGTGTGTGTGTGCACGCTCTGGAGTGCTGCAGTGCATTTGTACTAATTTAAATATGTTCTTACACAGCTCCTCCTGTAGGGAATTTGGCTGTTACTTTGGTAATGGAGCATTTGGTTACTGTGGATTGTTGTTATTTTATAACCTTGCATTTCTAATTTGCCATTTTTTTCCTCTGTTGATGTCAATATCCAGAAAGGGCAGAGTATTATTTTCTTCTTCTCTTCTGAATTTCATTCCTCTGAAGATATTATTGTTTCATGTGTCTTCTCTAGCTGTTCCTTTATAATATGACAAAGGTGTTGTCTACATACCAAATTCATATCTTTGGTTGAAGGTGTGGGAGTGCTAGAGTTTCTAGATGCTGCATTACAGTCTCATCTAAGTCCTGAGAGTGGTGATTCCATGGGTATTCCTCTGATTTGTTGGTATATTTATCTATCAAACTGAAATTAAGTAGTGAGATCCATGATTCTAGGTATTTAAATTGTACTGTATTTGGCTAGGTCAGGCGTGTTTTGTAGTAGAGCTGCCATGAATATTTTTCATAATTCTGGATCTGTAAGTAGAGTGTAAAGAGTGCTGTGACATTAAAAACATAACTTCAACTTCTGTTTTAGGTCTTTGGTTTTCTGGAAGCACTCTAGTGAGAAATTAATAGAATATTGGTTCCCCACTGTGGGATGTCTGAGCTCTTTAGAAAGTTCTTTGGCTATGGTGTATATTGGGAAGTCTGATAGCAATACAACTGGGCAAAGGGGTATATCAGGCTTGTGTATTTTTCTCTGTTCATAGAAAAATGGGAGGACAGATCTATCACTTTTCTTCTGCTACTGTTCTTCCTTTGACATGTAGCCTTTGAGGAAACTGAGCATCCTACATCAAGCTAAATCCAAAATAAATCAATCATTCAAAAGAAACAATAAACTGGCTAAGAAAAAAAATAAAGGAACACAACCTCTTCAACACCTACATAAGCAGAAATTAACACCAGACAAACAAGCAAGCAGAAAATACTCTGATCAAAGAACTATCAGACAAAACCACACCCCCATCAAAACTGGCAGAGCAAGCTACTGTGTATAAACAAAAAGCAAACCCACACTCAGCTGCACAGATGTTATCTAGTTGGTTGATGAAATCTCTACAAGCATACAACCAAGCTCAGAGAGCACAAGTAATTATGCTACATCTGGCTGATATAGCTGGTGGAATGGAATCACTGAGCTTAGACACAACAGAATGATCTTCTCTGATATTATCACCTTGTTATCCTAAAAATCATTTCTTTCTGTACCATGTGTACCCTTTGCCTCTCTGAAAGGTATGTCACGTATATTTAGTTCAACAAAATTAACATAATAGTGCTAAATTTCACCAGGACGTAAACTTGCTAGACAAACAGGTATTTGAATGCAATTATTTCTGATCAAAACTGAACCCTCTTGTTTACCATTACAGTATCTAAGGTTTGGGGGGGTTTTCCAGCTAGAATATGGTAAAATATAACCTAAGAACACTGTACATAAAAATTATAAATATAATGCTACTGTTTCATAGTAATAGGGCTGGTTTCCTTTGAGACTACCAAAAATTTATGTCAACTTTCATAAAACACTAGATAAAACCATAAATATCTAATTAAGTCTATGTTTTGTAAGGAATTTGCAGTGTTATCCTTGTTAAATTAACAATTTCATATCAGAACTGTTGTGCAAGGATATCATTTTAAAGAACTCTAGGTAATAATGGTGTAAATAAAGAAGATGATTAGCAGCAAGTGAGATAAACTTGATTGCAGTGGCAGATTGAAACATCTAAAGGGCCAAGTTGGGAACAACAAATCGTCCTAGAAGGCTATCGATACAGTTGCTAAAAGTTTTGATGGCACATGATCAATTTATACAGAATCACTTCATCTATCATAAAGTTTTCCAACACTTTTGATGTGATAAAAATGATCTTAGAATGGTTTGTAACATATACAAATCTCCTTTTTATTTGTCCCTTCCTTACTACAACAATTTGGCAATATATTACTAACACAGAAAATTCTGAAATTAGCTCTCCATATTACATTACAAAACTATCACAATCAACTCAATGTATTACTTATATAAAGGACACACTGACTGAATATAAAAATAGATTATATTATCTTCACATTTTCTAGCATCAAGATATTATTAAAATCAACAATATCAGATTCACCCACAAAGCCTAACAATAAAAATCCTAACAGATTTATCTTTTAAAGTTAAGCTTTGTTTTGTAATTCCAGATCTTCTGAAATGTATCAAGCACTTCTAAAAAACCTTGTAAATAATTTTAAAAGCAATAAAACCTGAAAATATATTTTCAAATTTTTAACAATTACTTCAGTTTCCCATAACTATGAAAATACATGTGATTGGATTTTATGTATTACTCTATGGTAACAATAACAACCTATTTACAACAACAACCTATTATTCTTATATGGTAATATAGGGTTACAACTAAATGTAAAAAACCAACTTAAGTAGAATAAATTAAAAGAATACTTAAATATACTATGCCAAGTTTATAAACCAGCAAGTCTTAATCTTTTTCAACAAGTTATGCATATTTAATATGTCAAAGCTGAGCCATAATAAAAATAATTAATTTACTTTTAACAACCGAAACGATTTTTTTTAAAGCAAGATAAGATGTTTTAAAAGACACGAACGGGAAACTTGTCAGTAATTTACCGGTCAAATACTTACCAGCCGTTGATTTCATTCTGAGAGTTCACACTCACTCCAAAATCCACCAATCGCCGAACTTCCTCAATATCCCCCAAAGCAGCAGCTTCTCTCAGTCTCTCTTCTAGCTCTTTTTCCTCTATTGCAGAAGTCATGTTATGAAATTCTCTCCTCAGTCAACTTTGGGATTACTAATTGCCTGCTTACCTACTGTAGATGATGGATCATTTTATCACGCTAGTCAATCAGAGGCCGACAAAATCCATCAGTCCCCCAAAAAGAAGACTCGGGTTTTATTCTTTTAATTATAAACGCGTCGGCAATTATTTTCTATCAACTGCTCATAAATCAGCCTGACACTTCTGAAGGCCATTTTCCCTAATTGCATAGTTAGAGTAAATCTGGTCGTTTCTACTTCCGTTTTCTCTGGGGGACTCTATTAAATGAGACAACAGCGACCTGCACATTTCGTTCCCACCAGTCGTCCCGCGCGCAGATCATCGGCACACAACAAAAAGGGGAAAAAAGAAAAGGAAATAGTTTCATTCTCCGTTTGATAAACCGAATGATTGTTTAAAATATATCCACTTTGCCACGATCAATCCTGTATATCATTGTCAAAAGAACTTGTGCAATTATGCATTTGTGCTTCTACTAAGACAGTAAATTGCTCGGCAGTTTCCGTTTGATCTCTCAAACTGCTTCGAGCAGCCTTAAATTGATATCGGGCAGGCTGAAATGTAAAACAGACTGAATAAATTAACAGAAATCCACCTCTTTTCAAACAGTGGAGTAACCTTAAAATACATTTCCACCAACCTATATATTGTAGTGAGTCTTTTCGGGATTATTTCCAATGCAATCGGTTTAAAAGAGTGCCACCGTATTTCTTTGGATTCATCTAATTCCCCTCTTTATATAGATCTCTTAATGTTGTTAATTGTAGATACTCCAATCTAATTGTAAATAGGTATCTCCACAGTTAGCATTTTGTGCATTCAGTTTTTTGTTTTTCAGAAAAGGATCACCCAGTTTTACTGCCATTGTAAGCCCAGAGCAAAGTAGGTAATTTTAGTGTGTTAATCTTTTCCAGAAATTATGGGAAAGAAGTCCCAGGAATACAAGTGATTGACATATAATGATAATTTTTAGTCCTTAGGCACAACCTTTAACAGTGTAACTTACCAAGGTTTGGGAAACACTGTTTAATATTGTACCAAAAGACTAAAAATTATCATGTCAATCACTTGTACTCTTGGGACTTCTTTCCCATAATTTCTGGAAAAGGTTAACAAAAATTACCTTTTAAAAACTTTTCTTTGGATTATAACATAACCAATTACCCAATCACAATCCTGGAATTTAAATAATGGCTTTGTGATAAGTGATTTTGGGTAATGAAAGTTTGAGAAACACTAATCTTAACATTTACTGTATAGTGAAGATACAGTTTTCATACCATTCCTGATCAATACAGGGACAGGCAAGGAAGCAATTTCTTTGCGAAGTAGAGGGATAGGTATTAAAACCTACTAGAAAAGTATTTTCCCTAATACAGAAAATTAAGTATTATTACCACGTTTACTCCAGCAACAATAACAATCATGGTATGCATCTGTAATGTACTTCTCTGAGACAATTTCTAGCAGTTCCAAACAAAAAACAAATTGCAAGATTTATTTTCTTAATAAGAGAAAACACAAGAAAAACGCCTCAAAAATGGAAGACAATGAAATCTATACCACCTAATGAATCACGAACAAGACAGGATAATTACAACTTCTTTAGAAGCCAGGGTCATTAGTTTTATGATTTAAAAAAGCTGAATGTAACTTAATAGTTAATAAATGTGTTCAGATTCTGACATAGTTTTTTTCTTTTCAAACTTTTGCTTTACTATTTATGGGGTGGTGATGCTTATTATCTGTATGCCTCTTTTCTTATTTTGAAGTCTTCTGGATTGAACCTGGGTGATCCTATGGGGCAAACTATTTAAGTTCATATAAATCAGTGTAGGATTTTTTTTTATGAAGATTTGAAAAACGCGCGATGCAAAAGGACGAAAACTACACTCTGTAAAATTTTGAAATGGAGGGTTTGATTTTTCTAAACAATCCCAAATCCACAAATATGCTGTAGGCCGGTGGTAAAGAAGGATATGAGTAATCAGCATTAAAACCTTGTTTCCAATATTTAGACTTCTTGGTAGGCATGCCCTCTTCGCTACAAGACTCCACAGAGAACTTGTTCAGGAAAATCAAATCATATGGTAAATAGCTGCCGGTTTCTTCTTGTCCTGCAGATGACAAGGGGAAGTAAATGGGTCCCGACCACGCCTCTTCCATCACGACGCGGACTGCCTTACAGGCGCCTCGCGAGCCCTTGACGACAAGCCCCAGGCGGCGATTATGCGAGGGAAGCCCAGCGCATTGTGGGAAACGCCCGGGCTCGACGGTGCCGCCATTTTGTCTCTGTCACTCTCGGAGCGGCGCGGCTGCATCGTTTTATAAGGGAGTGGAAGTGGTCGAGGCGGTAATAATTGAGTCGTCGGCGGAGAGGGCACCATGATTTCGGCAGCCCAGCTTTTGGACGAGCTTATGGGCCGGGACAGAAACCTCGCCCCAGATGAAAAGCGCAGTAACGTGCGGTGGGACCACGAAAGCGTGAGTGTTGCTGAGCTTGGGCCTCCTCTGTCCTTTCAGGCCTCCTTCTCAGTGGTTTTAGCGGTGTTTCGGGTGTTGGGGGTGGGAAAAAGAAAACGCGGAATAGTCCGAAATTTGCCTGGGCCGAGCCCTAAGCTAGGAGGAACGAGGAGCCGGACCCTTGTGAAGGGTGGCGTGGAAGAAAGCTATTGCGTGGGTTGGAGGGCGTTAGGCCTCTCGAAGGGAGAAAGAGGTAATGGGTGGGAAAACTCGTACAGAGCTGTGCAAAACGACGTGGCCCTGAAGATGGAGGACAGGCAAGTCAGGCCACGAGGCCCGTCGCGCACCCTCTATTGAGACACTGTATTGAATTATTGTACTTAATGTCTGGAAATGTGGCTCCTAAGAACGTGGGGGCGGGGGTGGAGAGGTAGGTGCGCGCGGGAAAGGGAGCGAAGGTTTTGAAGTGTGCGAGTCAAAGAGTTTTCAACTCTAACCCTTTTCTTCTATCGAGGGAATGTTATTCCACAGTCATAAATCTTTTTATCGTTCTTATCATGAATTTGTGCCACATTTCTGATTCAGAGCAGAACTATATGGCTTGCAGAGCACGAAGGGCAAAGAATCATAAAGCATTGAATAGGGTTAAAGCAGGAAAAAATTATAACTGTTAAAAAAAATAAAGATGAAATAAGTCGGTAATCAAACAGACCAGAATTTGAAAGACATCAAAGAGGAACACAGCATTTTCTCCTATCCATTATGCCACTGTGAAGTTACTTCAGAATATTCTCAGAAGACTCCCTTGAAATGTTTCTGAATTTGAGATGTTCATAAAACTAAGTTATAGCCTGCCATGGAGTAAATAGATTGAAGTTTCTTAAGATAATAGAAAAAAAACTTGTTTTACTTCAGAAATAATCCATGCATTTATTTCAGCAGGTATTGAAAAAATGAGGCATCTTGCCTTGGAGTAATTTATACCATGTTTCTCATATAATAAGGCCGGGTCTTATTTTTTTTTTTTTTGAGCCCCGAAACAATGGCTAGGCCATCTTTTCGGGGGTTACTTAATTCCCCCCCATTGAATCTTTGGGCAGGTGGGTGGCGACGGCTTGGATGTTTACCTTGGCGTTGGTGGGGCACTTTGTATCAGGTTCAACGCAGGCAGCACCATATCCGGGTATGCAACAAAAGTACTTCCTAACAGCAAGCCCCCCTGCCACTTTTCCCCCATTTTGCATGTTTTAATGTAGGTCTTAATTTGGGGGGAGGGGCTTAATTTCATTTCATGCCTATAAAACATGCTGGGACTTCCTATTGGGGGAGGCCGTATTGTTGGAGAAACAGGGTAGTACTAAGCATATCTATTCAAGATAAATTCTATTGAGTTCATTGGGACTTATCTCCAAGCAAGTGTATGGTATCCTAACTTGCATTGTCTCATATGAACCCAATTTGAAATATGACAACATTTGCCTTTTACTTGTTGCTCAGGAAAGTAGAAATCTTAATAGGCAGTGAAATGCATAAAATCTTGTAGCACTTCTCTGATTCAGAGCGTTGATTAAATTAGACTAATTCAATTTAAATTAGTTATCTAAATCTAGTAGTTTTGAAGGAAATTTAAATAGTTTTTTTAAGTCCTGTTTTTAGGTTAAAACACTAGACTCAATGAATGGATGGGTTTTTAAAAAAAAAAAAACCTGGAATGAGTTCTAGTGCACAGTGAATAAAAAAGTGACATTTGCTTATAACTGCTTTACTGTACTACCTGTCCTGTTATTTTCCATCAAGTAAGAGGCAATACTGTGGTACCTGTTTATTTTAAAGCTTAAGTACTTGCTAAATGTGTCATTTTATAAGCTTTTGACTTTAAAACTATGCCATTCAAGTTTATTGCTATGTCAATAAGCAAAACATCAAAAATATGGAAATATTGCAGCTTATTCACATAATTATAAAGGGGACTTGAGGTCTCTCTGGGAATCTAGATGGGGATGAACAAACTTCAGTTGAACTGTACAGTAGCAAGATGGAATGACTTTGGTTCTTCCTTGGATTCATGGCTCCTGCTCAAAGTGCTGGGGGACTTTACATACTATACCTTCATGTTGTGTACCAATTTTGTCCTTTCCTGGATCAGAGGGACTGTGTTCAGTCATGCTTTGGTCACCTCCTGAATGGATCATTGTAATGCATTCTACATGGGACTGCCCCCAAAGAACACCCAAAAGCTTAAGTTAGTTCAGAATGCAGTAGCATAGGCAATTGTATGTCTTAACTTTTTTTCCACCTTATACCTTTGTTTCTCAAGCTGCACTGGCTTCTGGGTACAATTTAAGGTGCTGGCTGTTACCTCTAAAGCCCTAATGGCATGGTGCCAGGGTATTTGAGGGCCTGCCTCACTTCTATCATTTGTACCTATCCCATTGGGTTGGGCAGGAGGGACATGCTCTGGGTCCCATCTGCTTGGGATTGTCATCTCACAGGATCCAGAAAGCAATGCATTTCCATAATGGCCCTGAGCTCTGGAACGCCACACTTCTTAAAATTCAGTTGAGCCAGACACAGCTCACCTTAAAATCCTAGACAGTTTTGACTTTTCACAGGCATGGGAACCAGGAAAGTGATTAATTCCATGCTAATGGTATTATGTTCCAGGGCCACTTTGTGTTAGTCATCTGATACTCTGGTAGTGTATGATGGTTTTTTTTTTTTAATATATAGTGTCCTTATAATGTAGAGGTAGCAACCATTCAAAGATTCAGGTACTCCTAGACTTACTATTATAATTGAGCCTGGAATTTAGGTTGCAGGTTGTTGTGATCTTTAAGCAAAATGTCCATGTGACTACTCTGCTCAATGACTGCAATCTCAGCTCTCCTTATTGCAATTGTTAAATGACTAAATTGTTAACGAGACAACAAAACTGATTGTCAACGGTGGGGAGACAGCTCCCTTCCATGTACAGAATGGAACTCCAGTGCTGGATTGGAGTTCCCCTTCCCTGTGTGTACAGAAGGGAGCTCCATCCCAAAATCTAACCCAGAGTGTCAGCCAAACAACACTTTTGCTGTCAAGGCGGTTGAGTGAAACAGTTCTTTCTGAAATCTAAGCAGAATTTCCTGCTTCTATTTCATGACAGACCTTTTTCATCCAGCTTCCAGAAACAAAAGGGGGAGTCCTTTGAGCAGGCTACAGCAGCTTGTGACTCCCTGCTGGCTTCCCCACTGACTTTCTGGAGAAACCAGCAGGGAGATTGCACATGGCAATCACATGATTACGGGGTTCTTGGCAACCCACTGTAAGTGCATACGGGTTGCCAAGTGCTCAGATTGCAATCATGCAGGAGTGCTGCAATAGTCATAAGTTCAGGCATGGGTTGTAAGTCCATTCAGCACTGTTGCAATGTTGAACAGTCATTAAACAAATGGTTGTTAATCAAGGACTACCTGTGGCAGCCAACCCACACTTAAGACTGCAGGTGGACTTCAGCTCCACTTCACCCCCCAAAAATTTCCTTTTGGTGCCCTGCACAGCAGCACTCTTTGGCAGCACTGGAACTGAAGTAGAGGCCTGGACCTTCAACAGTTTCAACTAGCCACTACTGTCCCTGAACTTTTACTTTAGCCCTAATGCTACTGCCTGGAGATTCTGTTTTGCTTCTGTTCTCATAATGCATTGGCTTTTTTTAGCAGCTCTCCTGCACTGTGTGCTCATGTTAAACTTGTGATAAACACACCCAGATTCTTTTCTCAGCTGCTAGTTCTAAGCCCAAATCTCCCTTACCCAATATTTTGGCTTTACATCTTTTCCTATCCAATACTTAGGCCTTATATTTTACCCTGACAAATTCCATCTTACTGATTTAGCCGGTGTGAAACTTCATAGTTTCATCTAAATTTTTGTTGGTCTACCTATTTACTTAACATGATTACTTGGCTTTTATTCTACTAGTCATACTTGACTCTGAGTAATTTAATGACCTAATAGTAATAAAATTAAAACAATGTAAAATACCCTTCATAACAACACCAGTAATGTTGTTGTGAGGCTGTTTGGTGTAATGGTTATGATGCTGATGTGGAAACCAGGAAATTATGAATACAGAATCCATGGTTATTTATTTATTTAGCTTATAGCATACAATGTCAGGGAAATCTACAAATGCTCTAGTGATAGGTGTCTTGGATGCAGTTACAAAATAATTGGAGCGCTACTTGAACTCCATTCTCATTGACAAAATCACCATCAGAGTTTCAAAAGACAGTTTACTTAGGACAGTTTGCACCCTGCAACAATACTTTAACACCATCAAACAACATTGTTTGAAAGGATTGACTAAATGGAGAAAATGGCAAATCTAGTCTAAACATCTGTATGGCTGAGTACGGTAAACCATAATGATGAAATCTAGTCATTGACAAACAGTATAAGAATTATTAGCACAGATATAGTCATGGAAGTTGGCCTAGAGCCGTAATGGTGAACCTATGGCATGTGTGCCAGAAGTGGCACGCAGAGCCCTCTTTGTGGGCACGCTCACTGTTGCCAGGTGCTCTTCTGGTTTCCGGCACACCAGTAGGTCTTTGGGTTTCTGGTGCACACAAAGACCAGCTGGACCATGCATGCATGTGCACCGGCCAGCTGGTCTTTGCTTTCCGGCGTGTGCACTCGGTGCCGAAAAGGTTCACCAACAGTGATCTAGAGAAATGTATTACAGTTACAATAAACCAGGTTAAAATCACAGTAATGAAATTTAAACACTGAATGGCCAAATCATGAAGATTAAGTTTACAAATATCTGGGCATTTTACAGTTGGATAACATCAAGCATGGACAAGTTAAAAATGTGTTTAGTAAAGAATACATCCAAAGAATAAGAAAATTGCTATATACAAAATTAAATTATAGAAATGCCATCAAAGCCCATCAATAATGAATCATACCTGTGACATAATACAGTGCTGGAATTATTAATTGGACATAAGCTGAAATGGACAGTTTGAATCGAAAAGCAAAATAATCTATGACTGCATTACATCACCATAGGTATATTGATGGATTGTACTTGCACCTCAGAAATCGATGCAGAAGTTTACTTCAAGTCAGACTGTTAAAGAAGTAAGAATTGGCTGATAAAGACAGCCAAGAACAAGCACTGATGCAAGTTAAAAATTACAACTTACTTGAAGGTACAGGACACAAATATGAATATCAGAATTATATAATAAAAACACAAATAGAATGCTGGCAAGGAAAAGCATTAATTTCTACAAAAGATTGAGAAGAAAATTGATAAAGGTAAAATCAATGGGTGCTTTTATTCAGTAACAATAACAGAATAGTGTCCTCTTAGAAATGAGACCAGCTCTAAGTGCAACGGGGGATGGGTGTGGCACTGGTACATTGTTGATATTTTTATTTGAGTAAATTTAATATTGGCAACAAAGAATTATAATCTTGTTCTTATGTTTCAGGTTTGTAAATACTACCTGTGTGGATTTTGTCCAGCTGAATTATTCACAAATACTCGTTCTGACTTAGGTGAGTGTGTGTTTTCCCTTTATGCAGTAATTGGTTTAAAATTTAATAACTTCTCTGTCTTTAGAATATTTTAAATATTACTTTAAAATTGATTAAAATCTAATTATGCAAATGTTCTTAATAGATTATGTTCTAAGCTTAAATGTTAAGTTTATTTTTAACATGCATATTAGGTTTCAAAACAACAAAATATAGCATTTTTGGTTTTGCAAATACCATTTAGCATTAGCTTTTCAATCGTATCTTTCACAGCCTTTCTCCATGTACACTACATTCCTATTGTCCTATTGTCCTGTTCTTTGAATCATGCTTTAGATCTAACAGCCACAAAATTATATCCCAGTCTTGATTTGATGCTAATTCATAATATGAAGATTACACTAATATACTATTGCACACAGCTGTTTTAATAAATTTGTTGATTAATAAATTTACTGAAGCTGTTTAACTATATAATAACATAAAAATATTAACTATAAAATATGTCTCAGTATAATAATTAGATTCAAGACATTGAAAAATACACTGCTCAAAAAAAGGGAACACAAAAATAGGACATCCTAGATCTGAATGAATGAAATATTCTTATTAAATACTTTGTTCATTACATAGTTGAATGTGCTGACAATAAAATCACACAAAAATTATCAACGGAAATCAAATTTAGCAACCCATGGAGGTCTGGATTTGGAGTTACACTCAAAATTAAAGTGGAAAAAAACACTACAGGCTGATCCAACTTTGATGTAATGTCCTTAAAACAAGTCAAAATGAGGCTCAGTAGTGTGTGTGGCCTCCACGTGCCTGTATGACCTCCCTACAATGCCTGGGCATGCTCCTGATGAGGTGGCGGATGGTCTCCTGAGGGATCTCCTCCCACACCTGGACGAAAGCATCCCCCAACTCCTGGACAGTCTGTGGTGCAACATGGCGTTGGTGGATGGAGTGAGACATTATGTCCCAGATGTGCTCAATTGGATTCAGGCCTGGGGAACGGGCGGGCCAGTCCATAGCATCAATGCGTTCGTCTTGCAGGAACTGCTGACTCACTTCAGCCACATGAGGTCTAGCATTGTCTTGCATTAGGAGGAACCCAGGGCCAACCACACCAGCATATGGTCTCACAAGGGGTCTGAGGATCTCATCTTGGTACCTAATGGCAGTCAGGCTATCTCTGGCGAGCACATGGAAGGCTGTGCGGCCCCCTAAAGAAATGCCACCCCATACCATGACTGACCCACTGCAAAACCGGTCATGCTGGAGGATGTTGCAGGCGGCAGAACGTTCTCCACGGCATCTCCAGACCCTGTCACATGTGCTCAGTCTGAACCTGCTTTCATCTGTGAAGAGCGCAAGGAACCAGTGGCAAATTTGCCAATCTTGGTATTCTCTGGCAAATGCCAAACGTCCTGCACAGTGTTGGGCTGTAAGCACAACCCCCACCTGTGGACGTCGGGCCCTCATACCACCCTCATGGAGTCTGTTTCTGACCGTTTGAGCAGCCATACGCACATTTGTGGCCCGTTGGAGGTCATTTTGCAGGGCTCTGGCAGTGCTCCTCCTGTCCCTCCTTGCACAAAGGCAGAGGTAGGGGTCTTGATGCTGGGTTGTTGCCTTCCTACGGCCTCCTCCACATCTCCTGATGTACTGGCCTGTCTCCTGGTAGCGCCTCCATGCTCTGGACACTACGCTGATAGACACAGCAAACCTTCTTGCCACAGCTCGCATTGATGTGCCATCCTGGATGAGCTGCACTACCTGAGCCACTTGTGTGGGTTGTAGACTCTGTCTCATGCTACCACTAGAGTGACAGCACTGCCAGCATTCAAAAGTGACCAAACCATCAGCCAGAAAGCATAGGAACTGAGAAGTGGTCTGTGGTCACCACCTGCAGAACCACTCCTTTATTGGGGATGTCTTGCTGACAGCCTATGCTTTCCACCTGTTGTCTATTCCATATGCACAACAGCATGTGAAATTGATTGTCAATCAGTGTTGCTACCTAAGTAGACAGTTTGATTTCACAGAAGTGTGATTGACTTGGAGTTACATTGTGTTGTTTAAGTGTTCCCTTTATTTTTTTGAGCAGTGTATATTTCTGTATATATTCACAACTATAGCTTTATATCATTCTCATAATGTTGCAGGAGACTTTATTATATGTAGTCCTCAACTTGCAATAGTTCATTTAGTGACTGTTTGAAGTTACATTGGAACTGAAAAATGAGATTTAAGATCATTTTTCACTCTTAAAATGGTTGCAGCATCCCCATGGCGACAGAATCAACATTCATACACTTGGCAACTGACTCATATTGATGAGGCTTGCGGGGTCATCTGATCACTTTTTATGACCTAACAAGCAAAGTCAATGGGGAAACTAGATTCACTTAACAACTGTAGTGATTCACTTAACTGTGGCAATAAAGGTTATAAAATGGAGCAAATTCACGTAATTGTCTTGCTTAGCAACAGAAATTTTGGGCTCAATTGTGGTCGTAAGTTGAGGACTGCTGTATTGTTTAAACATTGTGCGGCCCAAAATTTAACATTGCTTAAGGGAGAATTTTTTGAAATTTTGTTGGTCTTTGTTTTGCACAGTATTAACACTTTCCTATTAATAATAGTAATAATATTTTTTTTTTAGGTCCATGTGAAAAGATTCATGATGAAAACCTAAGAAAACAGTAAGTATATGTGTAATTTTGCTTTTAAAAGTTTCTAATAGGTTTAGCTATAAAGAATAATTTCAGTACAAAAGTCACATCAAATATTAATTGAAATTGAATAACTAATAGTTTCTTTATGTATCTACCATGTATTTTAGTTAAATATACACTGTCTTTATTATTAACCTTCAGATACATTTTGGACATTGATAGGTATGAGAAGAGTTCTCGATTCATGAAAGTAGGCTATGAAAGAGAGTTCCTCCGCTATTTACAAAGCTTGCTTGCTGAAGTTGAGCGTCGGATTAGAAGAGGCCATGCCCGTTTAGCATTATCTCAAACTCAGCAGTCCTCTGGTGTAAGTATAAAAACGATAAATAATTTTGCATTTTTTAATTCACAATTTTTCAAAAGTTTAAAGGAGCATTGTCTTATATTCCATACTGTACATGTGGACTTGCCTGGGGCTATAGCATAATTATGAAAAAAAAATCAATTTATTTAGAAAAGTCCATTTTATTTATTATGTGAGTAACAAGAGTAGTACCTCAGATTTACTGCATTACATATGACTTCCTTCTAATTGTATTGGAATTTGTCAGAAATGAATTAATATGAAAGTTTCAATTTAAATACTTTCACTCACCTAGAATCATCATCCCCAGTACCTCTCATTTCTGAACAGATATAAATAGAACTATTTGTTTTCTTTTCAGTTTATGGCAGCTTTTTAAAATTAGCAATGCAATAGACATAATAAGGATCAGTAAAGCAAAGGACTGTTTTATTTGGATAATGATTACTTTCTTATATTTAGCAGGCAGCAGGACCTACTGGCAAAAATGAAGAAAAGATTCAAGTCTTAACTGATAAAATTGATGTACTTCTGCAACAGGTAGAATTAACAATATTTTTTTAAATAAAAGTAATATATAAAAACCTAAATTAAAACTTAAAAAGTATTTTTGCTTTCTAATAGATTGAAGAACTAGGTTCTGAAGGAAAAGTAGAGGAAGCTCAAGGCATGATGAAACTTGTTGAACAGTTAAAAGAGGAGAGAGAACTGCTCAGATCTACAACTTCAGTAAGTCACAAAACTATTTTTCTTTAAGGTTAAAAATCATCAGATGAAATCAAATCTTATTTAGTAAAGTTTTTTTTCCTGGATTTTTGTAAAATGTTTGTGCGCATTTCATATAAATATTTTTATTTTTCACAAATCAGACAATTTTTATATAAGCTTCAGCTAAATAATCTGATAGGTATCGGGTAGTGGGTGGGCATGAAAAGACCATATAAAAGTAATTTAAATTTTGTGACAAAGTAATAATTCATAGAATAAAGAAACATGGAATCAATTTCAAGATTTAGTATTTCAAATCCCATTGAACCTACTCACATTAGTAACACAATTTCCTTCCAAAATATTCTGGGATTTTTCTCCAAATTCAAGTGGCTTCTTTTTTTACTTGGTTTTCTCAAAGCTATGTTATTTTTGTTTTTAATATATAGAGGTAGACCTCGACTTACGACTTGCAATTGAGCCCAAAATTTATGCTGCTAAGCCAGACAGTTGCTAAGTGAATTTTGCCGCATTTTACAGTCTTTCTTTAATTTATTAAGTTAATCACTATAGTTGTTAAGTTAGTAACATGGGTGTGAAGTGAAACTGATTGCAATAGGGGACCCCAGAACACTGCAACCAATGTAAACATGAATTGGTTGTGAAGCACCAACATCATGGGATGTTGCAACGGTTGAAACTGAAAAATGGCATAAGTTTGGTTTTTTTTCATTGCCATTGTAACTTTGAGCAGTCACCAAATGAAATGTTGTAAGTTGAGGACTACTTGTATTTTATTGAATTATGATTAACAAATATTACCAAATAACTAAATAACATATCTATGATACATGGAGGAAAAAATACAAACAAAAATACTGAGAAGTAAATAAAGAAATGGATACCGTGTTTGCAAAATTGGCCAAATATGTAAAATATTACCAGACCAGGATCTATTGCTGTGGAGATAAGCAATAAATTTTTTGATAGAATTATGGTTCATTCTCTGTTGTCTCATTATCTTAACTTTGTTTTTAAGTTATCTGGAGTTTTCCTATGTTAGGAAATTATTATTTTGGCTGTTAAAATTATATAATTTCCTTATTTTTAAGCTTGTGATTTGGTCCTATAAATGCTGTAAACCAACCTCTGGGAACCATTCAATTGTACTAATGTCTCCCAAGATTTTATGCCAGGGTGGTATAGCTTTATTGCATGACCACCATAAATGAAAAATATATTTTTAAAAATAATATATCCAACATTTGGAAAAATAATTCTGGTATATGTGCCAATCTTGTGCCAAACTGGAGTCAAATGCCAGCAATGTATAAACTTTCATTGCAGTTCTTGAATTGAAGCTGAAGTAAATCTGCCTGATTTCCATAATTCCAAACTATTTGTCTTCCGTAAGGATTTATCATGATCAGAATTCCATGATTTCTTTAAACCATGGCATGGAACTCTTTTTCTAATTGTAATAATACGTACATTTTTAATGTACGTTCTTTTGGTTAGTCTAATTTAGGAGTGTCAAACTGGCAGCCCTCGGGCTGGATGTGTCACGTGCAGTCCAGGCCCATTCCATCTGTGAAGGCAAAAAAGTGTACCTGTGTATGTTACAGGACTTCAATGTGACACAGTGAGTTTGACACCCGTGGTCTAATTGATTATTAAATTCTCAAATTTGGAAGAAGGACGGTGAAGTAGAATTCATGCAGATTGCAGGTACAGCATGTCAGGTTTTTCACAGCACTAGTACACAAAACCTATCTTACCTTCAATTATTGTCTCATAAGTAGGTTTTCTGTGGCATCTTTGAAGAAGCCTAGCCCAGTTTGCTATGGTTGGACTGGGATTGTCTCAGACCATAGTGTTCTTTACAAAAGTCATGACTCCAAGAGATCCCATCTCTTTTGGTGCTATCATTGCTGTGCTTTCTTCCAAGTCTTTCAACAGTCTGCTAATTGTTCTCTAATTATTGCTGATCTTGAATTTAGCTGGTACAGGTCCTTAACGTTTAAAAAAAAACATTTTAAGCATATGGAGAGATTAATGGCTAGCCTTTGGTTTCCACATTTTGGAATCCCTGAATTTTAAAATACTTGAACTGGTATATTCTTATATTGTGGAGATTGATTCTTGAACAAAGAATCAAATATTTACTGCTGTTGTGTGGTTCTTCAAATTAATGCCTGAGTGTTTATGATTTCATGAGACTAAAAATAATATATTATATTGGGTTAGGAACTACTGAAAATATATATTTCCATCTCCTTTACTCCTGTTCTTCTGGACATCTTCATCAAATGGTCTATAATATATCTTCAAAAGTGCTTTGGAATTGGCTCACATAGCCTAGTAGAATTGAACATGAAGATAACTTCTTCATAGTTAAATATCTATTGTAAGGGAGAATTATTATACAATTAACTTTCTTATGTGTGGGGCCAGTAAGTCCCAATTATATGCAGGTCGTGTACTTAGGGAAATATTTTTAATAACTTCTGATTTAAGTTTTAAATTAAAATTTTATTTTTTGAATTCAGATATCAGTTCGTAAATGGGACACCTGTTTTGTTGTAATTTTAGAGCAAATTGAGAATTTTAGAGCATAGAAATGAAAAAAACTGAACTCTATGTTTAAAGAATTTAAAATGTCTTCATTTATTTAAAAAAAATTTTTTTCCCCAGACCATTGAAAGTTTTGCAGCCCAGGAAAAACAAATGGAAGTTTGTGAAGTCTGTGGAGCCTTTTTAATTGTAGGAGATGCACAGTCCAGAGTCGATGATCACTTGATGGGGAAACAGCATATGGGCTATGCTAAAATTAAAGCTACAGTAGAAGAATTAAAAGTATGTTGTGCTATTTTTGCATGGATATACAAAACCATGTATTTATATTTGTGAACATGTGAAACAAAATGTGGTGTTCGATGAAAATTCTGTTTGGACTCATGACTATTGCTAATATCTAGTATTTTGAGTATATACAGGTAGTCCTCAATACAAATTGGGACTAGAATATCTATTACCAAGTGATGCATTTGTAAAGTGCATCACTTAGTGATAATAATCTCTGCAGGCCCAGTTGCCTTTTGTTAGTTGAAACCCATTGTTGTTAGGCAAGGAACTTCCTGCCAGCTTCCCAGAACCAAAGTCAGTGGGGAAGCCAGTAGAAAGTTCCAGTTCCACAAGCAGGTAATCAGCTTCTGCTGGGTAGAGGAGAGCCAGGGAGGATGCATAAGAGGTCCAGGGAGGGTGTAAGTGGGTGTGAAGATGGCCGGCACTATATGAGTGCAGAGAGGTTGCTGTAAGGTACATGGATATGGGATTCATAACACTGCCAGCATTCCTATTGACTTTCTTGAGAACCCAGTGGGAAAGATTGTAAATGATAATCAGGCTTGGCAACCAATCATAAGTGCAAATGGTTGCCAAGCACCTAGATCACAAATTATATTGACTGCAAGGGTGCAAAGATAGCTGAGGACTGGTAATCATTTAATGCTTCAATCACTGTCCAAATGGTTGTAGGTCGAGAACTACCTGTATGAGAAAGCTATTAGAAAAATTGTTTCAACGTACACTATTTTGAATATTGAACCTCAGGTACTTGTAAAAGGTGAATTGGTGCTTATATACTGTACTATACATAGAAAACTGGTTATTTCTATTTTAATCATATCCCAGAACAGCTGAAATATCCAATATTGGGAACTGTTTTGAAATTTTGAACATAAAAATAAACTGAACCCTGCATAAATTGTGAAAATCAGTCCAATAGAAATAAGTATATATTTTGGTTCTTCAGGAGTAACAGTTTACTAAAGTAACAAGAAAAGTTCACACTATTCTATGCATTTGAACCTATTCAATCTAGACTATTCCATGAAATTATGTTTTGTGCCAAGACTCTGTATGTGTGTGTTAGTGTGTGAGAGTGTGTGTGTGTGTGTGAGGGAGAGGGAGAGGGAGAGAGAGAGAAGATTGATTTTGGACATCTTGCATATGTAAGTTCCACGTTATGACTTTTTCACATAAAAAGATTATGTGATTAACAGGATTCCAACATCTTATTTGGTTGACTGACTGCCATATGCTGAATTTGTAAATATAACACAATCAGAAACCAAATCTTATTTCTTTAAGACTTTGATTACAAAAATATAATATAAAACTTAACTCTGTATTATTATTATTATTAGAGTTGAAAATCTGATACTGGAATATGCTGAGTTTGTATTTCATATACAATCTTGCACAGTGCTAGAATGATGATGATTCTCTGCAAAATAGAACAGTTTTTCTTGTTACATTTAAATTCAAAAAGCTTTGAATGGAATTAGCTTTGTAAGGAATGTTACATCAACCTATATTTTACCATTCTTTGTGTTAGTTTCATTTAAAACTAAGCCATGCCTTCTTTAAAATTAAAGATGTACTGTACTCAAATTTTGTTCTGGTTAACATTTTGGGGAAATTTCTTTCTCAAGGAAAAATTAAGAAAAAGAACTGAAGAGCCTGAACGCGATGATCGATTAAAAAAAGAGAAATTAGAACGAGAAGAGCGAGAGAGGGAACGTGAAAGGGAAGAAAAAGAAAGAAAGCGACGACGTGAGGAAGAAGAAAAGGAAAAAGAGAGGGCTCGTGATAGAGAAAGACGAAAAAGAAGCAGATCACGAAGCAGACATTCAAGCAGAACTTCTGACAGGAGAGCTAGTCGGTCAAGGGACCATAAACGGTCAAGAAGCAAGGACAGAAGACGAAGCAGGTAAATATCTAGGAAGTAGCTAAAAACATTGCAGTGATAGAAAACAGTGGTGGGGCTTATCTCCGGGTGGGATGAGTCTGCTTACCAAGATGAGGTGGACCGGTTGCTTTCGTGGTGTGGAAACAATAACTTGGTCCTCAACACCAATAAGACCAAGGAGCTTATAGTGGATTATAGAAGGAACAGATCAAACATCCAGCCCTTGCTTATCAATGGAGACCGAGTGGAGCAAGTGGCCAGTTTTAAGTTTCTCGGTGTTACCCTAAAAGAGGACCTGACCTGGGGTGCCCACATTGCAGCCCTGGTCAAAAGGGCCCAGCAGAGATTATACTACCTGAGGCTTCTCAGAAAACAACAACTGAATGAGAAACTGCTAGTGACCTACCACTGCACCATAAAGAGTATCTCAACTTACTGCACCTCTGTATGGTTTGCCAATTGCACAGTGGCAAATAGGAAAGCACTCCAGAGGGTTAATGTCATTGCCCAGAAGAATATTGTTTGCGCTCTCCCGCCTTTAGAAGAGCTTTATAACTCCCACTGCCTTAAGTAAGTTCAAAACTTTCTCAAAGATCCATCTCATCCTGGGAACCCTTTTTTTTAACTATTACCATCTGGCAGACGGTACAGAGTAATAAAAACAAGGACAAATAGTCTGAAAAACAGCTTCTATCCCAGGCAGTAGCTTTTGAATTCTGCTGTATAGTGCAGTGTTGGTGTGGTGTCGGGGGTTTCCGGTTCAATGTGTGAAGGGTGAAGGATGTGTGTTTGTGTTTATTTTCATGGTCATGATGTGCACTGAAGATGGTGTTTGATTTCGTCATACCAGGTGCAATGACAATAAAGTAAACTAAATGAGGACATTACTGAAGTTATGTTTGGATGAAAACTGGCCTAAGGAATAGAATCCAGTTTTCTGATAACTTTCTAAACCCTCTTGAGATGTCAAGTTTTTTAATTTTTATGATAGGTATTTAGATACAATTACGTTTTTTATTATTAGAAGTCGGGATCGACGCAGAAGCAGAAGCCATGATAGGTCAGATAGAAAACACAGATCACGCAGCAGAGATAGAAGACGGTCAAAAAGCCGAGAACGGAAATCGTACAAGCACAGAAGCAAAAGCAGAGAACGAGAACAAGAAAGGAAATCCAAGGAAAAAGGTTAGTTCATCTCAGTGCTAATAAAATTGGCTGCAGAGCTATGCCATCTCCAGGTGGACAGATATTCGTTTTATCATAACTTTTCCTGAACTGCTGTAGTAAACTCTCAAAACAATTTTAACCTTATTCCTAGCACTGCCACATATTGCAGATTGCAAGTAGATAAAATTACGTTACAGTGTCATATGTTGTAGCCTCTTAGCTAGCCAACAGCTAGCTTTTATAACCTCCCTCAACTTCTATATTCATCAATATGTATATCTACTTTGTTGAATCTTGTTTTGCTATTTGTCCTCTATACAAATGTTAATAGTACTGAAATATATTGAGGTATGGGTTTTGTTTGTTTTTGTTTTAAATATCTTTTGTATTGGCAAGGAACATCTATAGTTTATCTTTTCACACAGATTCATTTTTTTCCCAGCACCTCATTTTTTCCAACCTAGTCCATGGCATTCTAAAAAATATTACAATAAACTAACTGAAGAAGGCTCTTGTTGGATCTTATAAAAATTAACAAACATGGTAGTTTTCCTAATGGTGAAGATGACATTTTCATTCATTTCTTGAAGGCACACTGCTTGTGCTTTTTCCAAACAAAAATTAACATTAACTCTTGATTGATCAGAGTAAAGTATAATTTTAAAAAAATAACTATAACTAGTTTTTTTTAAGAGGTGCTTTCTTCCAACAATGAACTTGTTAATATTTCTTCCCCAAGATAGTCTCTCAATCTTGAGATTAAGTGTGCTTACAATTTGCAAATTTTTATTTTTTCAAAATCATTTAGAAATAGCCTCTTGCTCGGCCATACCTTGATTATATATTCACTGTTAGCCCTGAACTATTTTGTTCACTAGGGTCTGTCTTGGTCATTTGCAATACATATCTACTAGTAAGTAGATCCCACTGAATAAAATTGGGTAGACTTCAACTCTATAAATTAAGCCTTTAGTTGTGAGCAGTATTATTTACTCATTATGTAAATTGCTTTGTAATTGTTATATTAAAGGTCTGGATTTTGGTTCTTTTCCTGTCATGTGGAATTTTCATCTAGTTTTTCCCCCCACCCTTCCGCTTGGGTAATAGTTAATAGAAATGTAGTATGTTACTTCACTGGATATAATTTTGGCTTTGCATTGCCTTCTGGTTCTGATACTGATTTGTCCAAAAAATTAACTGTTGTGATAATATTTTAATAATGGCTATATTTGATAGAATTGTCCACTATGGGTCTCTCAAGAAACACTGTGTTTGAAATTGGAGTTGCCTATTTCTTTGTATTAATCTCCCATCTTCCAAAGAAATCAATGGCAACATTCTCAAATCTATAATGAACCAAAGCTACATGTTATTTGGTAGTAGATCCTTATCTGCACGAATACTAGAAAACTTGTACTAGATTTTTCATCATAGTATCAACACAATTTGTAAAATTTGTAGCGGTTGATTCCGTTACAAAAGATACTGGTGAATTGAAGCAATAAATGAGACTTATAAGAAAGTTCTACCAGTTCTACTTACTGTAGAAATAGTCTTGATATCTCCAGGAGATTGCTTCATTCCCTGTCAACAGTGAATTTTTGTTCAGAATTTGCAAACACTGTCAACTACTTGAATTTGAACTGTTTCACACTTAATAAAGCAGTTCACACTATTAATTGAACAAAACATTAGGTATTTAAATAAACTAATAATGTGGTTAAGTATTTCTATTAGTTTATTTTATTTGAGTTACTGTAACTAATTGGCTTCCTCTTAAATATGAGTAGTGTGACCAACCCTTCTGCATATATGCGACTTCTCACCCAAAAATGTAACTCTATCATTGTTCCCCATCACCATCCCTGCAATTTGAAATCTGACTTTACTTGAAAAGCTAATAGAAGCAGAAAAATAAAGTCACATGTGGATGGATATGCACGTTTATCTATTACTAAAACTGTGATGTTTAAACTTTTAACTGGGTAAAATAACACATCATAGGACAAAACCTGAACCAAGGTAATCTCAAATGGGTGAACTTAGAGGAAGTGTCTAAAATCCAGGACCCATGACTCCAATGGAATTGAAATTTTATAAAACATTTAATGTAGATCACAAAGCATTTAATGACATGCAAAATGTCACAAAACATTTCCTGTGGTCAATTCCTGATGTTTAACTGTGCTACACAGTTCAACATGGGCTCCTTTCAAGACAGATACATCTATGAATATGTCCCTGAATTTTTAAGAACTTTGCAAGTACTTTAGAAGCTCTGCCATTGTTGAAAGCATTGAAGAATCTGGTAAGGAAATATCTCTGAAACGATGGCCCAAGAGGTCATGCATTGTCTAGTGTGTCTATATGGATTTGCGAGATATATATATATATATATATATGATTAATTTGGTTATAGGATTTTCATTCCTGTCCCTCAGTTTGAATACCTCCAATGAAATATGGTACTGGCATTTCTCTTCCTTTATCAGATAGCGTTGGAACATATATGTTCTCATAAGCATAAGTTTGTTTTCAGGGAATAATGTAAAAGACGCCTGGTCTTTGTAGAACTATCTGAGAAAAGTCATTCAGTCAATATTCTCGAATTCCAAACATCTACTATAGATACTTAAAAGCACAGTTTTCTTACTCTAAATTTATCTTCAACCCTGATGTTATTAACTTTTACATTAACCAAAGGATCCTTTTTCACTTGTCCAAACTCAAAGCAACAAGAACAGGAGATTTGTTCTACCCATTATTTTTTTAAAATAAAGTTTTATTTGGGTTTTCACACACAAAATACAAGTAAAACATCTTTTTTGAAAATAGCATGGTCCCGGGTTGAACTTCTTTATACAGACACAAAACTCAATTTCATGCTTCTTTTTGTATTCTATTCCATATCCTATACTATTTTACATTTTCTATATAGTTTTTCCCCTCTTAATTTTCTCAATTTTATTTTGATTATCTCATCTCAATTCAAATCATATTTATACTTTTGTCTGTTCTGTTTCAATTTCACGTTATCTTTTCTCATTAAACAATTTTTTTCCTGTAGTTACTAATTGGAGTATGGCACCTTTATATCTTTTAATTACATCCATTCAACTCTTACTTAAACTTCAATATATACCTTAAGTTTATGACCTTCAATATAATACATAATACATAACTTCCAATCGAATTCTGCTTGGCACATTCTTATAATACACACTATATTCTTTTTTTTTAAAAAGGATTATAAATATATGTAATTATAAACCCTCATTCCATTCCAGTTCAGTTCTATCATTAATAATCATTAAAATCTTAACATCTTTAACACTTCTTTTCAATTAAATATCATACTTCCTAAAAAACACACATAATCTCCATAATTAATTTTTCCCTTCTCTTCACATATGTTTTATAAATCATTAAATATACCTTACATTTATTTATTGACAAGCATTCTACTGAATTAGGATAGCTATTTTATCAGACATTTTAATCATACATTGTTTCATATTTTCTAAAATTATTTCTGCTTCTAATATAACCATACTATCTTATGTACTTTTGCAGAATCCCTTTTTCTATTAAGTTTTCACCCATTATCTCTAAATAGACCCTGTTTCTCTGTATTTTGCTTCTGACCTTTATCACTTTTCCTTTCTTTCTTCCCTCTCATCTTCTCCCTCCCCTTTTTACCCCCTTGTCTCTCTAGTTCTAATTCTCTCTTCTGCATTTCCCTCTTCTGTTGCTTTCTGATTTTATATTTATTTTTCACTCTATTTTTTTTTTTGGAGTTGTTTTTCCCAATCTTAAACTTTCCATTCTCTTTCTCCCCTTTCCTTTTTTTCCCCCATCTAAGATTACTTGTTCATTAAAGATGGCTTCTCCTTTGTCGCAATCTTCTTGTTCTGCAGACATTTCTTGTTGTTTCTCATAATTCCAAATCGTTTCAAAAACTGAAATACGAAACCAAAAGAACCTCTCCCTTCTTGTGCATCTTCTTTGTACTTTTTAAGTTCCATTTTCAGTTCTTCTAAAAGTGGAGCCATTTTAAAAAGTTTTAAACAACCACCCGATTGATTTTAGCCATTCAAAACAATAACCAAGAATCCAGAAATCATCAAGTAATCCAAATAGTCCTGAGTTATATCTTCTTATTTCTTTTTCCACTTTCTCTTCCTGGGGTTTTTATTGTGACATTTCAGTTAGAATGTATCTTTTGAAAGTCTTGTTGAGATTTTGCTGTAAGTTCTTTTTTAATTCCAGGCAGTCTCCTCCCTTCCAGATCCTGCCCTTTTATTCTTCCTCTCTCCTTTCCTGTTTTCAAAAGCTTTTAATTATCCAGAAATCTTTATTATCCCTTTGACTTTTTACTTTCAGCATTAAATGCCTATTAATGTAAGTGGATTTTTTTCCAATTTCTTGCTTAAGTCTCTTAGCTGTCAGTATAGGAAAAGGAGAAAAGCAAATCTTTTCCCTTTTCTCTCTCCTTCACAGCTTAAAAATCTTCTTAGGGAACAACGTTATTGTTTTTTAACAGTTTCAATTCCAGGGTACCTTATTTGTTGCTTTAGCTATTTGACCCGGTCAACCAAAACTTTCTCTTCTTATCTTCCTCCTGCACATTCTTTTCCGGTTGAGTTCTTCTTTGTGGTGGCCATTTCTGACCACCGCTGCAACCACCTTCGGGAAAGGGAGTAATGGCCAGCTGGGGAGGAGAGATGCGGCTCTCCTCAACCCTGCTGGCAGTCTCCCCCCTCTTCACCACCTCTACGGGGTGGCTTAGCCCCGAAACCAGCCGTCTCGGGGCACTCCAGCGGTGAGCACGGATCGAAGCCTCACAGCGACGAGGTTTTGGTCTGTTGCTGAAAAAGCTCAAACCGGAAGTCCTGTTCTACGCATTTTTGAAGGGCTATTGAACACTATTTAATTTACATATAATAGAAGATAGGATTATTGAACTGGGTGGAACAGGCTGCTTTTCCACAGTGGATCTACATTTGGCTGCTACAAAGCAAAAACAGATCCATTAATACAGCCTACTGAACCTACCTAACCTCACTACAAAACAGACAAGATTTTAAAAGAATTTCATTGATAACTGAACTTCTGAAACTGTTTTTCTTCGGGTTTCTATTTGCCTCAGAAAATAGTTTCATATACATTTTTCTTAAGATTTTTGAAAGTTACCTATGTAATAAAAGTTGTTTTAAGGGGGGGTTTAGCAACAGGAATTGAAGTCATCCTAAGATTTAATTTTTTTGTTCCTTGTTCAGTTTTTCTAGAAGCTTCACTCAAAGAATAATTTTTATTTGTCTCCAGATCTTTATCAGTAAATAAATCCATTCCAAACAATGCATATTCCATTTGACCATTACAAAACATTTGTGGGTGTCATGCTAGTAGAAAAGGATGATTAAAAAATTTGTGGTCCAGGTATACCAAATGCATTCTTACAGAAATATTACTTTAATGGGCTAATAATTCAGTAATAATTCTCATATGAAAACTGGAAGTCTAAGAAGAATGCCGTTTATAATAAGAAACAGGGCCAAATTTTATTACAATTGTTTTGCAAGGAGTACATGCTTGCTTCTGGCTTTACTAATTTTACTGATGACTCGACAACACTCCATTGCAAGAGTGTCTCCTATTAGTCCCTGACATTTTGACAACTGCTGGAAATTGTTTTTTTAAGGACCCTATTGAGTTTGTATCTCAGTTCAAATATGTATGCTGAGCCATAACTTGTACTTGTTTTGCATGTAAAAATTAGGTACACATTTGCAAATAAGATGAAAATAGCAAACCTATTTCTGCTTTGAAGGTTACTTTTTTTGCTCCCCACAGTCATGGATTATTAAAATATCAGCCTGATGGTGCATCCACACAGACTACTTTCTCTCTTCCTGGCAATGGTGTACATAGGGAGATACTCCCCAGCTGTTGGTGAGGTGATGGGGCATAGCAGGCAAATAAAGGTAAAACAGATGGGCTGGGCTGTGGAAAGATAGTGAAGAGGAAACAGTCACTAGTAGTTGGGGGCTATACATGAACCTATGGCTACTTTTGGGAAAGCTTGTCACCAAAATTACTGATTATTAAAACAATTAGCATGCATATCTACTTGTTATTGCTCTATAAAAATAATGTTAAGCCTAAGATAGTGATATGCATGGCTGATTTAAATAGCCAGATTGAAAACTTACCTCTGAACGTTCCTAAAGGACAGGAAGATTTATCTACATGTTAAGCTTTGCCAAACTATTTTTGGCATTTCTAACATTTTAGAATTTCTAAACATTTTAGAAATATGGTCATTCTATTCACAGATTATTGGTGGTGTTTCTTAGAAATAAGTCTAAGTATAGATAATACTTTGGTCTGAACTAAACCTAAGTGATTAAGTGTGGTAAGCTTTGGTTCATATATATTTTTATGTTAACTATCTTGAAAGTTGACAGTTTGGATTAGATAGTATATATGTAGCCCATGACTTTGATACAAACCACTGCTTCCTTCAGTGTAACTGAAGCAGTACTATTTTGGCTCCTTGCTATCCTGTCTACTTCTCCTGTGCTCAGCATTTGTTCTTTCTAAAGGAATGACTCTTAACATTTGCGTTAAATTTTTACAGCTAGCTGATATCTCAGCATGTACTTTTGCAACTAGTTGATGTCTCAGCATATATTTCACACCAAAAGAAATGTGTGTGATTACTGTGAAGTCCATGGTCAATGTCTTCTTTCATGGCAGAAAAGAGGGGATCTGATGATAAAAAAAGTAGTGTGAAGTCCAGTAGTCGAGAAAAACAGAGTGAAGACACAAGCATGGACTCCAAGGAAGGCGATGCTAAGAATGAGGTCAATGGGACCAATGAAGACATTAAATCTGAAGGTGACACTCAGTCCAATTAAAACTGATCTGATATGACCTCAGATCAGACAGAGGTAAGTGCATTATTTCAAACTTTGATTAGGGCTTTTTGTTACTGTTTAACAGTGCAGCGTAAGTATGTACAGATGAAGATGGATCTAAGACAAGTAAGAAGAGATACTAAAGCAACTTCTGAAGGAAAACACAGTGTAGTCCTGCAAAATCTTTTGAGGTACATTGTTTTGTATCGGCTATTTTGTAGCAGATTCATATCCCCTTTAGTGTGCCTCTTGGGAACCTATTTGTAATTATAGTCACCATAGAATTTAATTATCCTATTTTTATTTTTAGGGGATGTTATCTTTTTTAACACTTGATCTGATTTTGTAATTAAGTCCATATTGTGTTCGTGCGTCAGAAACATTTGCTTTAATACTTAATATTTGAGGCACATATTGGACTATTTTGTTTTTATATAAACTGCGAGTATTTATTTGTCAAGGATGTTTCTAGTTTTTTTGCTTTGCCTTGCATTCTAATGCAGTTTGTTCTGTAACTCGAGAGCCAGTAGCATTGGATTGATGGAAGTGTAGGGTTTATGAATAATTGCAGCTGACTACCATACCTCACACAGCGTTGGTGTTGTGAGCGGCCCATGAAAAGCCAAATTAAAAATCAAGGATTCAGTCAAACTAAGCAGGTACTCATGCCAGGTACTCCTTTCTCTACCCACATCCATGTTTGAATGCTGTTGCCTGTAATCTTTACGCTTACTGTTGTGTGTTTTATTTACAAAAAGTGAAAAGGAATTTTGTGAATATTTCGTGAAAATCGTTAACCTGATATTAACTTGATTGGCATTTTCTTTCAACTGTGTGTAGGGATGCACTGCTGCCCAGAATTAGGTATCTTTAAAGAGCATTAAATGCAATAAATACTACATTATAACCGCCTTGTTACATTCAATGCATTTCAAGTCTTTAAGAGGTATGTGTTTATAATTTCCTACTGCGTAGGAGAATTGCCAGGCAGCCATGGCACACAGCAATATATTATTGGCTGATACCAGACTTGGGAGGCAAATGAAATAAAGGCCATTTCATGAACACTCAATAGGTATATATAACTGGCAAGAATATTCACATTGCTTTGTTAAATGGCACTCGATTTAAATATAAATCACCTATTCTCAGCTTGGGCTTTTTCAGGGTCATTCCTTTTAAAGAATAGACCCAAATAAAAGAAGCAGCCAAGCATTCACTTCCTCTACAACATAGCTTCAGCACATCTAAGAACAGCTTACAATTACAAAGCGGACCTATGTATGTTTACACAGAAGTAAATTCCATTGTGTTTTATGGGTCTTACTCCTAAATAAGCATGCATAGGTTTGTAAACTTAAGAGGTACAGTCCTCCTGGCACTGACGTTCAGTATCTAGTCATACTTGCACCTGAACCTCCGTGGAATTACATGAAGCTTCCCAACAGCACTGATTGGTGAATTATGCTATCATTTTGTTCTTTTCCGTCACTTAGGGGCTTTAAGTGTATTATGAGATTTTTGAAGGTAGAGCGGGCAGCAAATAGACAGTAGGAGTGGCAAAACAAAGGTCACCTCTGCTCACATGATCTGACTCTCTCTTCCCAACATTTTTGCATTATAGGAGAACCATGTGACAAGCCTGCGAAGAATCCTGAAGACTGCTTAATATGAAGATCTGCTTTAAAATGAGGTGAAAGAAAGCTGTAGTGGCATAGAAAAAAATTAAAGTTCTGTTAGATTGTTTTTTTAATTAAAATAATTCAGGACTGTTAATGACATCTCAAAATACAAAGAAGTTAATAAGCAAGCTACTGAAAATTTAAGTATTTTTATCATTTTTTTCCTATAAGACTTTTAAGGTGATAAAGCAACATAACCTGAACACAAAGCTTGCTCAGTGTTTAATTGCGAGTTTTCATTCTTGAACTATGAAATACAAAAGTATTGTATTAGTATTTGTGTGACTGAGATTAAACAAATCCCATTTTTACAGGCAAGCTATATATAGCTTCTTGATATATTCTAATGGAAATAAAGTATCTGAATTTCTGTTACACATTTGATTGTCATTGAGTGTTTAATATTAAATAGATTTCTTTCCACATAAGTGTGTTCTAGTTCATTCTTCTCTATTTCCTATCCTTTGATTAGGAGAAGTTAGGAATTATCAGAACTATTTAAGATCTTACATAAAACTAACACTCCTTATGAATAAAAAAATTACAATTAACAGTCATTAATTTAAAAAATGGAAAAGTAAAACTATATAACAATAAAGGAGAGTTATTAGTAGCTCAGGGTTGAAATATGGGGTCCTTCTGTTTCTGAGCTTGGTTATTTTCTTGTAGACATTTCATTATCCAAATTAGGTAACATCAGTGCAAATGGATGAATGAAATGTCTGCAAGGAAATAACCAAGCTTAGAGAGCACCAAGGACACAGCAGTATTTTATACACACTTTAGTTCTCGAGTAGTTCTTAGCCTACAAAGGCCTGACTATAAAGGTGTAGCTTCAGAGTTCTTTTACTTAACTAAGCAGAACAACCACCAGTGGTCCATGAGGTTTAACTAAGCTTAACACCCAAGTTGGTAGAGGCAATATTTATAATCTAGGTTTTAAATTGTTAGACGCTTTAGAATACATGCTAATATTTTAAAAAGGAAATTATGCAATTGATTGACTTATGCATTGTTGATGAAAGCAAGTTCAACAAAAAGAAAAGGTTGCATGCGGAACCTTGAACTATTCTAAAGACTATATGCTTATCATTCACAAGAATAACATGTCAATGCCTATGGACACATCCAGTAACATTCAGAACACATAATTGTTGAATGTTTGTGTGTTTTATCTCGTAATCTGCATAGAGTCGCCTTGAATCACAAGATGGGTGGCAAATTAATTTGATTAAAGAAAATTCACACAAATTATGGCTGCTTCAGACTATATTTCCCAGAAATCTAGGCTGTGTGACATGGGACAGTAAGGGGTATATCCCTCCTTTCCTACTTCCCCCTGGCCCCTGTGCCCAGTTGCCTGGCAGTGAAGGCACAACAGGTGAACAGCAATTGGCTGCTTTGGAAACAAGGCCACTTGTGTCCTCGATCCATGCCCCTCCTGGCTAGTTAAGACCTCCCAGAAGGTAACATAGTTGGATCCAAGCACTGTTTAAAGCCTGTGCGGGAGGAGATGGTACTGCCTGCCCTGAAGAAGGTAGTGATCCCCTTCTCAAGTGGCCATCTTTGGACCCCACAGTATTGAAAAAATGTTCATCTAGTCTCCCAATCTTCCCTTTTTGCAGAAGGTTATTCAGAAGGTGTTAGCACATAGGCTATAGAAGACTCTGAATGAAGTAGATTATCTGGACCCTTTTCAGTCTGGATTCAGGCCAAGGCACAACACTCCAACCACATTGGTCACTTGTTGACGACCCTTGGAAGGCTTGAAATGGAGGTAGTAACCATTCGGGCCCTCCTGAATGTTTGGCTTTTGATACCATTGACCATGATACTCATTTGGACTGGCTTTGGGGTTGGTAGTACTAGAAGAGGCACTGATATACAGTGGTTGTTCCTCACTTGCAGTGGGGTGCCTTGGGGCTTGATCCTCTCATCGCTCCTTTTTAACTTCTACATGAATCCGCATGGGGAGGTCATTTATTGGTATGGACTATGTATCATTGATATGCTGATAATTACGTATTTCCACTCCTAACCGAATAAGCGACACAGCTGCAGTGCTTGCTGAGTGCTTGAAGGCTGTGAAGAGTCTGCATAGGAGGATTCAGATTTGGCTCCTCCCTGGCAGGTTGGGTGCTTTTGGTACCCCCTGAACCAGATAATTTTTTGACTCTTCCTTTGTCACCTTCCATCTGGATTACTACAATGTGGTTTATACACTTCAAGACCACCCAAACATCTCATCCAGAATGCAGCAATGCATACAGTAAAGGGGCCGTGAGATTCAATCAATCACCTGTTGCATGAGCTGCTTCCTGTTTCTTTTTGGGTGCAAGTCAAGGTGCTGATCTTTACAACCCTATATGACCCAGGGCCAAGCTACCTATGGAATCATCAATCTCTGCAGGTGAATGAGGAGCAGGGAGAAGAGGGACCAGCCAGTCAGCAAAGTGCTGCTGCAGCAGCAGTCTGTACGTGTCAGCCATGTTCTCCAGGGCATGCTGCAACTGATCCAAGGTGCGCAGGCCAATGGCCTTTAGGGCCTGCCTCTCTCCACCTCCTGCTATAGTCTGGTGGCTCATGCCTCGCTTCCACCTGGCTCATGCCTCACTTCCACCTCACCGCCCACACCTCTCCCTGGTTCTTTAGCTGTGGCCATGCCAGCTCTCCCATTCTAAAGATAAAGCAATCCAGCTTGACCAGGGTAAGGTTGTCTGTCTCAGGAGGCAGGAGCCGAGCATGCAGAGGCTGCAGCATGGCATCAACCCCAGTCCTCCAGTTCTACTGTATATGCGGGATGAGCCTCCCACGACAGATAACCTGACCCTGGGCAAGCCAGATTACTTCAACTATGAAGGTGATTGGAATTGCAGCCTGCTACAGCTGGAGAGCTGCGAAGTTGAAAGTAAAGCAATGATATGCCCCCAAACAAGGAACCGTTGTGAGCTTTGAGGGTGCAAATTTAAATTCTCAAGCTCATGCGCAGAATTCATACCAAATCATCCCACTGGAATTCAAGGAGGCTAATCGTGGTAAATACAAATCATCTGAAAAATAGGACCGATTACTATATTGATGATGAATGTAAATGAAAAGGCAGTTTCCAAAGCCTTCCTCCCCCACAGTGAAATCTTGAGTCGCCTCACAGAGAGCCAAGGTGGCTGGCAAGCTGCAGGTGCTGCTGGACACTGTTGGTCTCTGCATGCTCAGCACCTTTTATACACATGGGGGGGGAACTCCGCCTGGCTGGCCCTTGTGATGGGGGAAAAAGACCCCCCACCCCCAAAATAAGCCCTAGTGCTTATGTTTTAGCCCAAAAGAAAATAAATTCGGTGCCGTGGTCTACCGGTGGCCTGTGGAACTGGCAGCAGTCAGACAATGGGGAGGAACATGGGCCAGTCCTGGAGTCTGGGGAGGACTCGGATGAGAGATCTGCATCTGACACAGAGATGGGGCCAGGGCCATCTGAGTGTTATGTGCTGACTCCAGTCTCCAGAATCTGACATCAGCGAGGCAAAGGAACAGAGGGAGCCTGTTCCCAGTGCGCACTTGCACAGAGCTGCCAGAAGGCAAGAACAATTAAAACAAAAAGGGCAATTTGGGAGTAAGGCTTGGAGATGATTGTCCCCTCCCATAAGACATAAAAGAGGAGCAAAGGGACATAAGCCTTTGCAGGAAACAACTTTGTTCATTCTGATTGGTTTAAACTGAAGCTCTGGGTTGACTGTTCAGGTTGGCCTTGTACGGCTAATTGGCAATTTAGTAGTTGGCAGCATTTAAAGGGAGATAAAGGTAGGTGCTTATCAGCCTTATCCCCAAAAGACTGTGGCAGACTTTTGTTGGACTATTCACAAACGGGGACTCATTATGGGCTGTGAATGAATATAATTCACAACCACTGAAATAAAAAAGAGGGGTTTTGGGACTGAGTGTGTGATTGTTACTGTCTCAGGAAGCCTTGGTCAGAATAACCGGGTCTTACCATGTTTCTCATATAAGGCCGGGTTTGGTTTTTTTTTTTGAGCCCCCCAAAAATGGCTAGGCCATCTTTGGGGGGGTGACTTAATTCCCCCCTCCTTGCATCTTCGGGCGGGCGGGCGGCGACAGCTTGGATGTTGACCTTGGCGTTGGTGGGGCACTTTGTATCGGGGTCAACGCAGGCAGCACCATATCCAGGTGTGCAACAGAAGTGCTTCCTAACGGCAAGCCCCCCTGCCATTTCCCCGCCATTTCGCATGTTTTAATATAGGCCTTAATTTGGGGGGAGTGGCTTAATTTCATGCCTATAAAACATGCTGGACTTCTTATTGGGGGAGGCCGTATTGTTGGAGAAACAGGGTATTTTCAGGGAAACACGGTACATACATATACACACAATGCAATTAAAATATTTTAAAATAGTAAAAACATCCAAAATACAGTAGCTGAGATATTTGGCCAATAAAGCCAGAAAATGGGGCCCTTAGGCTAGTTTCAAGAACACTGGCAGGTTTTTAGAGCTTTACTAAAGGCTAACAGGGTTGGGGGCCATTGTAATCTCCAAAGGGAGGATATTCCATAAAGCAGGGACTTCTGCAGAATTGGCCCATGATGAGAGGCTAGTGCTAACCTGCATGATGGGAATCACCCAGAGTTGGTTGAAAGATGGGCTACAATAACACTAGAGGAGTGTTAATAAAAAGGATCAATGGCAAGAATACAAATATTTTCTATGGATCTTCTTGATATAGTCAAACCTCATTACTCGACTGCTTTGAAAGTCATCAAATTTGGTAACACATCTTAATGCAAAAATTTTGTCCAGTACTCATTTGTTTGGTATTGGATGCACAAACTAGAATTTGTGGGTGTTGGCTGCCTCCTAACTACCCTTTACAGCCGAAACAAAGGCTGACACATTAGTTACATAGTTTATTTGATAATCATTGTTAGTACTCGTGGCACCTCCCAGAACCGAGTAATGGTGAGTAGTGGAGTACTACTGTAGAATGAATTCAACTTATGCCAACAGGTTCAGAGTAATTGACTAAATGAACAAGAACCTGCTAATGAAATAGTAGTGATTATTTTAGTCATAAAGCAGGATTTTTTTGTTTGCATATGGGGAAGTAGTTAGGACAGACTACATATAAGACTTCTGATGTGCTTACACTGATTAGGAATTGAGTGCTAACTCCAACAATATTAAGTACAAAGTATTGCATCTTAACTGAAAATATATGAAACTTTAAAAATTTGCTTTAATAATAGCTTAAAATAGAATATTCATTATCCTTCCTGTAAATCCTAAACTTCAATATATCAGGTTGGCTGCTTTGATGTTGTAGCAAGTTTTTTCTATCAGTGTTGTTACTGTAGCATTTCTGAGAGAAGATGTCATGCTTCTTGCTAAAACTATCTCCAGCTCTTGAAAATTCTGAAGCCTGGCCACATCTTCATCCTTGAAGGAGAAAGGAAGTCGTATTTTTAAAATAATTAAAGCAGTTTCAAACTGTGAAACCTAATAATAAAACAGGTAATGGAAGCTGCATTAAGATGATGGATTACTTTAATACTACCTTAAGAATCAGTTAATGAAAAATGTTCTTTTAAGCTTCAGGAATTGTTCAAGCATTCCATATTTATTATACTAATCCATATTACAGACTAAACCCAAAGAACTTTTATGAAGCCCCCTTCCCACCATATCCCTGGAACTATTATATATTTAGTGTGAAGAGGGATGCAAAATGCTCTCATCTGAATGTGTTTAAGCTTAATGAAATATCCCAATTGCCAGCACTATTCTGAGAGCACTGAGTCTGTCTAGACTTGTCATCGCTTTGTTTACACCCTGTCCATGCAAGTTCTTTGTTAGAAATGGAACATGAAAGGCTAAGAGCTATATATACTGCCCTTTATATAAATTACTGAAGACTTACACACTGCACTGATAAATTATGCAGTTTGCTCAGTTTTGAGTTTAGCATCTAGGAACTTGGTTATTCTGGCTCAAAGACAAAAAATGTAGGTTTTGGCAACCTTTTTTTCCCTCAGTAGCATAATGAAATGACCAGTGTGGAAAAACAACCCTCCAAATCACCCAAATTTTGTGAAAGTCTCACAGGAAAATCTCAAACTCTTATACCACTACATTTGACCATTTTCACATAAAAATCTCACAAGATTTGTTTTATAGTAAGTTTCAGGTTTATTGGTGGCAACTCATGCAGGCAACTCGTAGGTTATGACCTGCAATGCTAGATGAACCTGGATAATTGAATCAATGCTGCTTAAGCAAATCAGCTCAATGCAGAAACAGCCAATTACTAGTATTAAAACAAGGAGTAAGAAATCCTTTTTGAGAAGTTTGCTTGCATACAGCTCTATTTTTACCGAGTCTGCAAATCCTTGGAAGAGGAGATAAAATCTTGCAAAAAGATAGTTCAGTTCCTTGGCTTATGATATAAGTTAAAGTATAAAAATAACCAAAAGGTATACGTATTATATATGTATAAGAAGTGAGCCAGCCAATTTTATTTTGGATAAGCTTGTGCACATAAACAGATGCAAACCTGTAGATATGAGAAGGTTGCAGATCTGTCAGATTAAGGAGGAGGCCAAACAGTGCTTCAACAGTAAAAAGGGAAAAGGGCATTGTAAGTTCAGACAAATCTGTATCAGCTGCAAAGGTCATTTTATTTCCTGATCAGGCTGATAATAAGGATAGGGGGAGAGGAACCGCCAATCATTTTCCATGCTTCCCATTTTACTCTGCTGAAACGAGCCTAGCAGTTTCTATTTGGGCACTTTTTGATTTTTCCATCCCGTGTCCTCTATTGCTCTATTGGCTATCATTACAAAGCTCTACATAGTTATCAAAGCACTATTCTGAACACTAAGAGCTGAAGTGTGACTGAGGATGAAGCATGAGATAGTAGAAGAGCATTGACAGAGAAGACAAAGGTCTTTACTGAATGATTCAAACATGGCTGGTTACGCTTTATGAATTGCATGAGCAATTCTAACATGGATTTCAAGCTACTAATTAAATCCATAATGCTAAAAACAATGAAATGATTGTTCAAAAATGATTGTTTTTGCAAGAATCCTTAACTGAACCTTACCTCAACTCCTGCTTGTACAGTACATACCAAATAGGTCTATGAACAGCAGATGCCATACAGGCCTTCCCCCCTCTTTGGCATGAAAAAACAATTGTTGGTTGGTTGGTTTCTTTCCCTGGCCCTTGCAAATACAGATCATCCAATTGCTTTAGATAAATGCTGATTATGCTCCTTGCAACTGACTGGTGAAACGCTCTGTGGTGCTAATTTGGGTTAATAAACCTGCACTCCACATTATGCAGACCAACAGCAAGAAGCATTTTGGTACAATTCTTATCAAAAACTATAAATTAATTACATGCTTCAATCCTCTATAGAAACTTTGCATACAATAGCAGAAGAAGAAAACACACAGCATCCAGGGCAGTGAAATGCAACAAGTGCTTAAAATCTTAAAATCCATAGAAACCAGTATTTAAATGGTCAGCTCTTACTTCTGCCCAATTGGGCACCATTCAGGTTCTCCATGGTATGGAATTCTGGCCTGATACTCCAGCCAGAATTGTGCTACAGGATTCTGTGAATTGCACTAATTTTAAGCTACAATTTATATTCACTTCCTGAAAGTAAACTCTTCTTCTCTACTGAGAAGTCTGAAGGCTTTCATGTTGAAAAGCAGAGGTTGAAAGAACACTCAAATATTTTTTTGTGGATTCACAAACTGGCTCATCTACATATAGCGAAAGGTTCTGTCTCCAGCTGTTGTTTGAAGGATTTCTTCTTGTATTGTTATCTTGGCAAGGAATATTCTTGTGCGTAGTAGTTGTTGGCATGCATGAGAAATTCTGAACTGACCGTAAGCCTTTATTAGACAGCAACACGCAGCAGAATGTAGGATGTTTATTTTTTTCTGCACTACCAAATTAATAAAAAAAATCAATTGTACATCACAATAATAATTGCTAGTTCTATGACTCTTATATACTATTTTGGATAGTGAGCAATTTGCAACAGCTAATGTTGAAAAATAAATGTTTAAAACAAAATCTTTGTGTTTACCTTTCTCAATAATGTATTAGGTAATTTTCTAATTTTCTCCACTTGTTCAGAATTAATTCCCAGCTCACAGCAACAAACACTGAGCAGATCTTGATAAGTCAGTTGTTTTCTGTCCAGTTCAATTTCAATGAAGTCATATTCTTTAGGATTTTGAACTCTCACTTTAAGCACCAATTCTGTATCTTTATATGGGGGAAAACACATATATTTACATGAAATTTCATTAACAAGTACAGGAACTAGAGTGATAAATTATCTCTAATCCCCAAATCATTTTTTAAAAACTATGTCCTTCATTAACAGAAAAGAGAAATGGCTCCAGACAATTATGATTAACAGAAGAGATTAACTGCAGAATAAATTAGGAAACTCGAGATACTGAGGACAGGGCCTCCCTAAAGAAGAAAATGCCAAAACGCTGCTATATTCTTGCCAAGTGGCCATATCCATCATTGGGGGGGGGGGGGTCAAACTTGACTTGAGACAAGATTTTACCTTAGCATGTAATGGGAAAATGAGGACCGAAATATAGTGCTGATGTTTATTGCAAACAGATGATTGTGGACAAAGGAAAAAGGGATTCACCATCTATACAGGTAGTCCTTGAGTTACAAGCACAATTGAGCCCAAAATTTCTATTATTAAAAGTTGTTCAGTGAGTTTTGCTCCATTTTATGATTCTTGCCACTGTTGTTAAGTGAATCACTACAGTTAAGTTACTAACACGGTTGTTACGTGAATCTGGCTTCCCCATTGATTTTGCTTGTCAGAAGGTCGCAAAAGATGATCACATGACCCCAGGACACTGCAACCATCATTAAATACAGGGCAGTTACCAAGTATCTGAATTTTGATCGCATGACTGTGCCGATGCTGCAAGAGTCATGAAAAACAGTCACAAATGTGAAAAACAAAAATGTGAAAAATCGTAAGTCACTTTTGTCAGTGCGGTTGTAACTTCAAACCGTCGTTAAATGAATGGTTGTAAGTCAAAGACTACCTTGAACTCCAAAGGTGCCCTGGGTTCCTAGAACTATTGCTACCTCTCCTAGTGCCCTGTTCTGACCCAGGCTTCGTCAAATGTAATTAAGCACAAACTTATTTTAAAAGCAAAACCTATTTTAATGTAATGCTGGGAATTACTTTCATTCACAGCCAGAATTAATCTTAAACAGTTCCCCAAGATAAGCACATGCCTGTCGGTGCTGTGGAATGCTGCCAAAAACAGAAGTATCCAAATTAATTATAACAGAAACCATCCGAAGTACCAGAAAAAACAGCAGAATACACAGAGCTTCAAAGCAGTTAGACTTTTACAACCCTAAGCAGTTTACAAAGTCAGCATATTGCCCCCAACAATCTGGGTCCTCATTTTATCCACCTCGGAAGGATGGAAAGCTGAGTCAACCTTGAGGCTGGTGAGATTTGAACTGCCAAATTGCAGGCAGCCGGCAGTCAGCAGAAGTAACCTGCAGTACTGCACTCTAACCACTGCGCCACCGTGGTTCATAATCAAGAATAAAGAAACATTACTAGAAAAGTTTTCAGTACCATGCCTATTGTATGGAAATATTCCATTGAAAAGCAGTGGCTGTAACGCTGACTCTGCCTCCACTACGGCACCATTTTTTGGGTTGGGCACGTGTTGTCTAGGTGGACATGAAGTCAAGTGATCTTGGTTGTGATGTGTAGATGAAGAAAATGAGGGATTAGAGTTTTGAACTCTAGACTTTATATCTTCGGATGCTTCTGCAACCACGGACGAAATGAGCTCCTCAACCCAAAGGTGTTTCCCAGGGAGTTCGGTTTCTTTGTGCAAAGAAATGGCCACGCCATTGTTTTCTGCTTGAATTGTCGATAAACAAAGGCTACTATTATCACCAGCAGGTAAATGAGGTACGGCAGCATTATTTTCTTTGGGTGGCATAGCCATAAGAGTGGCACCATCCCCTTTTTGATTGTAAGTCCCTGGAAACGATTCATTGGTGAGACAGTTTGCCATACTCAGCAGCTTTAAGTTATTTACTTCTCGATTATCACCACCTTCCACTTCAGGAGCTATTGGGAGAAAATAAAATAAAAAATATTTTGAACCATTCTCTCCTATGGGAATAGCACTCCAGAATCAGCAGAACTAATTATACCTCAACTTTGAGAGTTACATTTTAACCGCAAAGCAACAGCAAATAGATTTAACAGTTTAAACTGCAAGAGAAATGCAGGTAGTCCTTGAGTTACGGCCACAATTGAGCTTAAAATTTATGTGGCTAAGTGAAACAAGTTTGCCCTACTTTACGACTTTTCTTGACACAATTGTTAAGTGAAGCATTGCGCTTGTTAAGTTAGTAACATCGTTGTTAAGTGAATCCAGCTTCCTCCACTGACTTTGTCAGGCCGTAAAATTTGATCACAGGACCCTGGGACACTGCCACCGTCACAAATATGAGTCAGTTGCCCAGCATCTGAAATTTGATCACATGATTATGGGGATGCTGCAGAGGTCTTAACTGTGAAAAATGGTCACACGTCACTATTTCCAGTGCCGTGGTAACTTTGAACGGTCACTAAATGAACGGTTGTAAGTCGAGAACTACCTGTACAGGACCCATATATGGAGCTACAGTGGCAAATGCTTGGCTAAGAATAGGAATCTTGCACTGTTATATTTTATTTGGAAGCAGAAAACAGAGAAATACCCCCATGTATGTACCATCCAAATGTCCAGTGAGACAGAATTGTACCTAAAATGTCACATAATGCAATCCAGGAAGCCTGCCTTTGCTGTCACAATGCCCAGCCTATGAAACACCATCCCTCCCTGAGATTCAGAGGCCCTGCTGATTTTGCTGGCGTTCAGAAACACTCGGTTATTCCTTCTGCCATTGTGCTGAGATATTAAATGTAGCACCGAAGCATATTACACTGAAAATCTCTGATCATTATATTAATAATGTGGTTATTTTTATCTTCAGAAAGAAGGGTTGATTATTATGGCTTTACAATTTTCCACCCAGTCACAGAAGTGAGAAAGGGAGCCATATACAAATCACTGAAATAAATAAATAGAAAGATGAAATCACTTCCAAGGCAATATTTAGATTAAAGATCCAAGCTTCCACAAAATGCCAAAAGCATGTTTGGAGTACAGCTGGGCTTTGGTTGCACCTGTGGCATAATAATGGCCAAACATGTCAGGCTGGTAATCTAGCCTACAACTTTTATATTTTACTGAGAAGCAGGGGGGAATCATAGGGGTGAGATCGGGGTGGGATTCAAAATTTTTAAGAACCGGTTCTGTGGGTGTGGCTTAGGTGATGGGCGTGGCTTGGTGGCCAACTCAATATCACTCACATTGAGGCACGCATCTTCTTGCCTGGCCTCTCATGACTGTGGGGATGCTGCAACAGTCGTAAGTGTGAAAAATGGTCATAAGTCACTTTTTTCAGTGCCATTGTAACTTTGAATGGTCACTCCACCCAAGCAAAGTACCAGCAAAGGAGGAAAAAAAACTCCAGAGAAATTCCTGAGACAGGAAGTCTAGTCCTGCCAAGAATGTAATAAGGGTCAATGGAGAGGCAGCTTTCTAGAAGCAACACCAGAATGTTCCCTTCCTGCCTTCCTTACAGGATTAGGTCAGTAATTTCTTCTAACAACCAGTTCTCCAAACTGCTTAGAATGTTAACAACCAGTTCTAGCAAATAGGTGCTGGTAGAATCCTATCCCTGGGTGAGATTAAACCAATACAAAAACATCAGCAAACTTTTAAGTTACTTAGACATAAAGCAAGAATAAAATAAATCTCCTTATCTTACTCCTTCTGATACCTCAGAATGCAAGCATTATGCTCTAAAGACAGATCCACTGAATATTTATAAAAAGATAAATTCAAGTTATCAAGCACACCTCCAAGAAGTTTTCTGATTTCTTTTTTTGAAGTCAGATGTGTTGCCAGGTCTCTGTTCTTTGTAAAAATCCCCTTATCGGCTCCATGATCTAGCAGGTACTTAACTATATGAGTTTGGTTACGCTTACATGCCCAATGCAAGCACGTCCTACATAAGAGAAATGTGAATTATCAAGCATTTCTATCACTGTGACAGAGCAGATATTACCAAACTACAGCTCCCAGCAATTCTGGCAACGGACAGGAATTCTGTGAACTGCATCTCTGCCTGGCACCCTGATAGTCATCCAAGGGCCATAACAGAGGCTTTCTTTCTTGCCACAAATCATCATTTTCCTATGAAGTCAATGGGGGAGCCGGCAGGAAGTCAGAAGTCATGGTCACTTTATAACCATGTTGTTTAGCAACTGGTGCCAATAGTGGTTGGTAAATTAAGGACTACAACTAGTCCTCAGATTACAACAGCAACTTGAATCAGAATGTCTGTCACTTAGTGCAATGTCACATGACCGTATCACTTAATGATGGCAATGCTGGCAGCCCCGACCATTATGCAGGCCAGCGGATGAGAGCTATGGGCAGGCAGAAGCCACAGGTTGGGGCTATGGAATGTGGGCAGGTGCCAAAGGAACATGCTACATAGGGCAAATGCTATGGAGTAGATGGGCATGTCAGAAAGCAACTGGAATGAGATGATTTTGACTTTCTGTCAGCTTCCTCAATGACTTTGCTTATGCCAGCAGAGGACATTGCAAATGGTGATCACTGCAATCATCCTAATTTTGATCCAGTCGTCAAATTCCAGAATCATGGTCATGTGGAGTGTTGCGATAGCCACACCACCATGGACCATACCTAGGTCGCTCTAATTCAGCACCATCATGACTTTGGTCACTAAACAAGTAGTTGTAATCTGAGAATTACTTCTATCTGTATGATATCTTGGCAATATTGGGGGATTTATTATATAGTGATCCAGACTGGAGCCACATAAAGCACTCCAAAGACAAAATTGTATTATTCTTAAAAATAGTTAAGATGGGCGGCAACCAAATAGGTATGGTTAGGGTGAATAGCCACTGTACAGGTAGCCCTCGACTTACAGTCACAATTGAGCCCAAAATTTGTTGCTGTGAGACAGTTAAGTGAATTTTGCCCCATTTTATGACCTTGGTTGCCATAGTTTTTAAGTGAATCACTGTTTTAAGTGAATCAATGTTAGTAACATGGTTAAATGGATCTGGCTTCCCCATTGACTCTGCTTAATCAGGTCACAAAGGTGTTCACATGATTCCAGAACACTGCAACTGTCCTAAATTACATGTCAGTTGCCAAGAGTTTGAATTTTGATGCTGCAACTGTCCGGTGAAAAACGGTCATAAACCACATTTTTCAGTGCCGTTGTAACTTCGAACAGTCACTAAATGAACTGTTTTAAATCAAGGACAACCTGTAAGATATTCGATGCAAATTATCTTCCAGGTGTCCCTAATATCAAACTTTTACGAGTTTTGTCTTAGAAGTGTTAAGATCCCAGAAACAGATTGTGACCTCAAAAATTTAGGCAATAATTCTGTGGCTGGTTTGCTGGTTTTGGTAAACTGAGGTAACTGTTCCCCATTCCACCTCGGATGGGGGGGGCATAATTAAGCAACCAAGTCTGGGGGAGGGGGGGGACACCTCTTATTAGTCTCGCCTGTTTTTAAGGGAAGGCCAGCGAAGCCAAGAGAAGGCCAGCCGAGAAAAGACTGAGGGTACTCTTGGAGGAGGCCACACACCATCCACCTTCCCACAATTCGTTGGAGTTCAAGGACCAGTAAAGGGGAACAACGTGCATGTTGCCACACCTTGGAAACGTGGGGAGAGGGGAGCACTTCCCTGTTCGGGAGAAACGAAGGCGCCCGTCCCGGAGGCAGAGGGAGAAAGGGAAGAGGAGCCCCTTACCAGCCATTGACCTCATTCTGAGCATTCACTGCCACCCCGTTACGGACCAGCATCTGCACCTCCTCGAGATTGCCTAAAGCAGCAGCTTCCCGGAGCCTTTCCTCCAAGTAGCTGCTCATCCTCCCTGCCTCTTTTTCCCCCGACCCTCCGACCATTAGCGCTCCCCCCGGCAGGCCCAGGAATGCCCCATCCGAAGGCGTCCCCTTGCAGGGAGAGGGAGAGAAAGGAGGAGCTGCAGCCCTCTCTCGTCCCGCCCGGCTTCGAGCCCGGGACGCGGAAGGCTGTTCCGCCGGCAAGAGAGGCGGCGCGCGGAGCCCACCCGCAAATTTCTTTCACGCAGCGAGGCCAGCGCGCAGAAAGTGAGCGCGAAGGGAGGGGGCAGAGCGCAGGAAGGATTCGAAGCTCCGTTTCCAGGACAACCAGGGCGGGCCTTTAAACGGGTTGTAGAACCCGAGCCGAACGACCAGCGACGGCGGTTGCTCCAACGAAACGTTGAAGCTTCGCGCGGAGCGAATGTGGATGTGTCTGGTTCGGGCATTACCAAGAAGCATGTAGAGTAGACCATCCCTAACAATCAAAATTGAATAGCTGAAAAGCCAACTAAAATTTTATCCTCTGTTTAATATACTAACGTCTATATACTGAAAGATATATGTATGTGTACACTCACAAACATACATATACATACATATATACACATATACGTGTGTGTGTGTATGTGTGTTATATTGGAAGTTAGAACCCACCCCTCCTACAAGAATAAAATATTCTAGGAAATATTAAAAAGGCAGAGTATTATATTTCCCTGGATGAGAAAAGGAGAAACATGTTTTTAAAGACAAAGCAGCTCCACTTCAACTCCAGGGTGAGGTGATGGGATTAAGACATGGCCCTCAGGACGTGATAGGATTAGCCCTCTACCCATTTCACCACATGGCGCCTGGGAAGATTACCTCACCCAGCAAGATTCAACCAAGCTACCCCTGCATGGGCCCATGGGAGTCTGACAACCATTCAGGATACATTTCTTGCCACAGAACATTCCAAACCCAGAGAGAGCATAAAACCCAAGGATTCTCAGCATCTCTTCCCTTTTTTTCTTCTCCCAAGAGCTCCAAGCCATGTTGTTCTGTCCACCATTAAACCATCTTTCCAAACAGCCTCCATATTTCCAGCGTCTTTTTCCCCACTTGGAACTGAACCCAGAGGGACATTTCTTCCAACAGTTATAAAGTATATTATTTATTGAAAGATGGACTGAAAGCAAAACAAAAAACAAAAAAAACAAACCCTATCTGCTCTATTACATGTTGATTTTTATTTGAAGCCTCTTGAAGCTGCTTGAACCTCTTGAAGCTGCTTGATAGGGTAAGGTTCACTTTGACCACAATTAAACAACTCTGGTTGTAAAGCAAGACAGTTAAGTGTATTTTGCTCCATTTTATGATCTTTCATGCCATAGTTAAGTGAATCACTGTGTTGTTATGGTTAGTAACACAGTTGTTAAGTGAATCTGGCTTCCCCATTGACTTTGCTTATCAGAAGGTCGCAAAAGTTGATCTCATGACCCCAGAACATTGCAGCTGTCATAAATACATGCCAGTTGTCTGAATTTAGCCATGTGACCATGGAACTCCTGTAACTGTCACATATGTGAATAACGGTCATGTCACTTTTTTCAGTGTTATTGTAACTTCGAACAGTAACTAAAACGGTTGTAAATCAAGGACTACTCGCATTGATTTTATGCTATTTAAGCAGTGATCTTAAATTTGTTTATCCAAATGAATCCCACTTCCTGGTACTTCTAGTTCAAGGAATCCGTTTCTGTTGTGTTGGAAGTAAGTCTTATTAAACCATGAGAGGGTTTAATCCATATGGCCAGATACAGCTTTGGGCAGTAAACTACAAAAATAGGCCAGAGCAGCAATTCTTTGGAGGAAAGCAAGTTTATTGTTTCAAGGCAGTGTTCTCCAAATTTAAATTCAAAATAAAAAGGTTAACAGCAATCTTGTAGTTAAAAAATTCAAAAAGATACATATGGTTCCATTTTTATGCTTTGAATTTCATTTTAAAAAACTAAATGGCTCACTTCAGTGAAAATTTGAAGATCAGTAGTTTTAATAATTTCAAATGCTCCAATATCACTTCATTTGTTTTGAGTTTATTTTTCTTGCAGCGCAAAAACATTTTGAGAGGCTTATGTTAAGCAGCAGTACATTGAAACGTTACCCTTCACCACTGTCTTTCAAAAGTCTGTCAAAATTTTATTTTGTTGTTTTGCTGTTTTAAAGTCATACCAAATACCACTAGACTTTTATGACTGCAAATGGTGTCTTATTCAAAAATCCAGTTGGGGATCAATTACATTTATTTCCAGGTAAATGAATAGGATTACAAGCTAAAATACCATGGCCACAATAAAAAATGGGCTATGGAATATTTTGTTCAACAGTGGAATTTTCCAAATTCACACTGAATGACAAATAAAAATTGTTGCAAGTTTCCGATAATATTCAAATTTGAAGTTTTACTATTTTCTACACAGTATACAGTTCCCCATTTAAGAGGGCCAGAATCAAAAGTGTTATTAATCTATCAGTTTAATCTTTGACTGAGAGCAGCTGAGGGAAGAAAAATATGGGGGAGGCTTAATTTATGCCTCTGTGTTCTCACTTGTGAACAATGCAGGGTATTTTTGCTCTTCAGTTACACATACCAATACACATCCTTATCCACTCAGTGCAACCAGCTGCAATAACTTAGGAGTATTTTTCACCTTTACCTAGAGAAGCAGACCACTAAATCTCAGTTTTTGTTTAATTGCACTAAGATGATTGTGGGCACAGTGGTTAAGATGTACTAGAACTAGAGAAGAAACTATGGTTTAAAGCTGGCCTCAACCCCATAAGTTCACTGAGTGACTTTGGGCCAGTCGTTCTCTGGAGATTGTGAGACACTCTGGAGACTCTGGTTGTGGAAGGAGAATGATTTGTGCTCCTGGAGCGGGGAAAAGGATTAAAAATGTAACAACTAAATGCTATATATGCACTATTTTAAAATGAAGCTTCCAGCTTTCCTTCTAAAAATAGGAAATCATAAATGCAACAGTTATGCACATCTCTAGCAGCGATATGCATCAGTGACATAGAATGCTATAAACTAGGTAAAAACTATTATGAGAGCCAGTGTGGTAGTGGTTAAGATGTCAGACTAAGAGCAAACAAACCTACAGTTCTAGATCAGATGTGTCCAACCTTGGCAATTTTAAGACTTCTGGACTTCAACTCCCAGAATTCTCTAGCCAGCCATGCTGCCTAGGGAGTCCTGGGACTCGAAGCCCACAAATATCCTTATGTTAAACTGTAATGTTAAACTATAGGGTTGCTGTAAAAACACAACAGGAGCCAAAATGATGCTGTAGAAGAGGCATGTAAGAAATTATTTTCTATATCTGGCAGAATTGCAAGGATTGGTGTCATGCCACTAGAGGTCCTAGTAGAACAATAAAAAAAATGTTTAAAATAGTTACTGCTGAAATGCTCTGTTTTGTTTGTTTATGCCTTTTTTGAGGTTAGCTAGTATTGCAAACACTTTGCAAATATGATCATTATGGTGCTATATATTGTAAAACTGATGGCAGGATGTTTAGAGCTTTAGAGAGCTCAAGGAGGCTTGGATGCGGACTGAGAGGTAGGCTGGGAGGAGGCTGCATACAGTAACTGGCCTCAGCTCACCAAACTGTGGCCACCAATATTATTTTTATCTTCATGGCAGGTACATTGATGGCAGGTGATGCTGAGATTATTCTTCAGAACAATCCGCCATATTTGTCTTCCGTAACCTAACATTGTGTTTAGAAAAATGCACACACATAAACTTGTTTGTATATATACTTACAAGTAGGGTTTCTGCCTTTGGATTGCTTGGCAACTTCAGCTCAAAAAATAGAAAATTAGTGAGCAAAACATTTTCTATTACTTACCTCTGTTGGTAAAAGATTATTATATAACATTTATGAATGTGAGATTGGTGGTAACAATGCAGAAGCACACTATAAAATTATAGCAATATCCTAAAGCCTCTTTTCTTTTGTTTCTAATGTGACATTTATTGCAAGGAGGATTCAGTTCATTCTACACTTTAGGCTTTTTGATAAAATCTCTGTTTCTGGTAATAGTCTTCTGTCCTTTAGTCATATGTTCCTCCTTTACATGGCACTTTTTCTCTTCAGCAGTTTAGAAGGCTCTGTGTGAGTGTGTGTGTGTGTGTATTTATGTGATTTCGAAGTTGTCTGGCTCCTAATAACTTTGAGCAACTTAGTTTATAAAGCAACAACAACAACAACAACAACAACAAAAGATTCCTACAGTAAATGACCCAAAGACAGACCTACTGTAGAAATTGGATAATCATTTGTCTGATATAGTATAGGGTTTCTTGCTTGAGGAGGAGGTTGGTCTCTAGAAAATCTCCAAGATCCCTTCCAACTCTGTTATTCTGTTATTCTCTATAAACAAAGATCCATCCAAAAAAGGTCTCCACCGTGAACCTATCCCAGGCCCTGGGAGAATAGCCAGGACTTCATAGCTTCCTGAATGTCAGCAGGTTGAGAGCCATGATCTACACATTGTTTTGTTCTCTATTTTTCCTTTTAGTTAGAATTGATTGCGGGAACTCATTTAGCTGGACATTTTTCTCCATCAGAATTTCAAATGGTTGGATCTGCAATGCTGTCGTTTGGTTTCATCAAAATCTATTTTGAAATGCAATATACAACTCTGACTCCCCCATTTTCCTCTTTCTTTAATATTAGGAATTCAATGGTATGATAGGTTCCGAACACCTTTACTTCTTCAACCAAGATCTAGATTAGGTCCAAGATAGCAGGCCTCCCTTGTTCTGTCTTCCAACTTCTGACATAAAATTGTCAGCAAGAGAAGTCAGAAAGGAGTTTAGAAGAGTTAAATTCCCAACAGATATCAAAGTAATTGAAATCTCTCATTTTCAGATCGTGTCATTGAAATTTTAGTCATCTAATGGAGAAAGCACTTATCCATGCCTTCTGTCTATAAAGGCAATTTAAAATAAACTCCCTCAGCAATATCATATTTGTTTCATTTTCCTCTTATTCTTTCCAGAACTCTCTTAACAA